GGGAGGGACCAAACTTTGCCTTAGTTTTCAGTTGAGACAGTCTTTGTGGAAGGGTTCTGCCGCGGGCCTGGAAAACAAGTTTCCGGCATGGAGCCATCCCGAAAACCACACTGCAGGCCCCAGAGGGCCCCGCGCTCCGGGGGTGCCCGGGCAGGGATGGGGTTCAGTACGGGTTTGTTTACGTGTGGCTGTGAATTCCTGGCTTTCTGAGCGTGGTGGCGTAGGGCTGGATCAAGCACTGTGATTCCTGTGAGGAAATCTCCCCAGCCGGGTGGCAACATCCCGCGGAGGAGCTGCAACGCTTACGGCTGGATGGGGGGGGGGGAGACATTTGGCTCCAGGTCCTTCCATAAAAATCCTAATCTTTTCTTATGGCCTTATGTGAAGGGGATGACAACCCCCTAAGGAAGCGGATCCTACTTTTGGGTGCAATTTCTGGAGCGATTTAAGGTGGATGAAGCGCAGATCCCTGCTGACAGGGCAGATCTGCACCCACCCCCCTTTGCACAGCCCCAGCATTTGCCCCCTTGTTAATGCTGAGTTTTCTTACAAGAAAGCAAGGTAGAGATGGTGGTGTGTCCTTCCAGCCTGAGTTTGGGATGTGGTTGGGATGTTCATGGGAGTTGGGAGCAGGGAAATGGCCCCATGCACCTCTGGCTCCCAGGATGTAGCCCCTAGGATTGCAAACCTTCCCTCACATCAGCCTCTGCAAACTCCCGTGTTGGTCCTTTCCAACATGCTGAACATGGAAATCGTACTCTTTTCAATCAGTGAAAATTACTCCATGGAGTAAATGCAATGCAAAAGCTGGAGCAAATCCTAAAACACTTCTGGTTTATGAGGGTGACTGGACTAATTAGCTCAAGACCAGCTGTTGATATGGGAATATAAAAGTTTTCTCTCCATTGATTTGGCCAGACTGCAGAAAATATTGCAGTGTTTCCATCCTCGGAATGATGGGGTAGTGCTGTAATCCTTGCAAGCTGCTTAAATTCCCTGTCAGCAAAGCAGCTAGGAAATACCCCCTAGCACAGGTATAATTATTGAAATCCACAGCCTTGCGGGGGCCAAATATCTGCTTGAGTTTCTTGATGGGGGTCTGTTCTATGGGACTGGAAAGTGCAAAGCACGGCTATGGAGAGAAGATTTTTAAGCAACATGCCATAGCTTGATTATTTGTACCAAAGAACATCAGAAGATAGTTGCACAGACATTTCTTTCATTGCAATAAACCACTACCAATAATGAGTCTGCAGCATTGGCAGGGGAGGAGCCAGTTTCCATGGTTAAGTGAATACCAACAGACCTGTGGCAAGTGTTTGGCCTGAGCTGGCTGTTTGTTAGCAACATCCTAGAGAAATGCAACATGGTTTTATCTAGGAGACCTTTATATTAAGGGCTGCACTATGCTCCAGATTTCCATGACTGCAAACCAAACATCACCATCAGTCTGTGATCACTGGTTTGAAGATAATTTTTTTTTCCCCCCCCTCTCATTCCTTTTTCCTTATTTTTGGATAAATTCTGGTTTCTCGCAGTGCGTGTCTCATTTTTAATCCAGATTTTGCTCGATCCATTAAAATTGCTCTTGAGAGGAGCTGATACATCAGTGAACACCCACAAAACGGCTGTTGCTCTTTTACCAGGCACCTTTCTGGACTGTGCAGCATGACAGAGCTCCACGAAGCTGTGGCTTTGGGGGACTACGACCTGGTGGATGAGATTTTGAGGACAGGACACTGTGACCCAAATCACAAGGATGCTGACTGGCATGACAGGACCCCACTGCACTGGGCTGCTGCAAAAGGTAAAGGCACCCCTTGCTCTGTTACCTCTGTGAACTGGCATCATTAAAGGTGATGCTGATGGTAATTATGTCTTGCTATGATGGCAGTTAATGCTGGTGATAGTCACAGCTTGTATCTGATCATTTTGTCCATAATGAGCAAAAAAGAGAAAAATACCAATCTAAGTGGGAACTTTGCCTCCAAAATAATTTATGGGGTTAGCGTCAAAGTGATATTTTAGCTTTTTTTCTTCCCGTCATGTGAAAATTTATAATTTACATGATGTGTGTATATATCATGTCTGCTTGTCCCTCACATTACTTTTCTAAGAGGGGACTTCATACAGTGCAGAGGATTTATTTATCATGTACACCTGCACAAATGAGCAGAAAGTCAAACCCACTGTATTTATACCAGGTATTTATTAAACCAAATAGAACAAAATTATTACAGTGTGTTTTATATTGCCCTCCCTTTGTGAACAGCACAGGCCCAGAGCTGTGTGCAGCTCCCATTTGGTCTTTCACCATCAGAAGTGTCTGCTAGAGTCAAATATCCCTTTGCAGCCCAGAAAAGAGAGGAACACAACAATATATAGTGTATAACTGTACACAGTGTAAAATGGGAAACTGGACCTGTACTCCTCCATGCTAGGGTGTTTGTAACATGTTAAATCTCACATCACAGCATCTGTCTGTGCTCAGAAATCAAGTGTGTGATTTGCTAATTTACACTTGACATTATGTTTTACTTTTGCCCTGATGGATTATTACTCATTTGGGCAGCAGCAGAGGGAACTGAACTATTTAAGAAAATGATGGTGAGAGACTCATCAGGTCAGTCAAAGCAGTGTGAAGTGGGGTAGAAATAACTTTTTTTGCTTCTTTAAGCAATTACACAAGTTATAAAAATATGAAGGTGAATGAAAACAAGTCATTTCTTTTTCTCCTATCAAACAAACCTTTATTTTAGTAAAGCTGTTCACAGTTTTTTCAGTTTTCTAAATGTTTAAATGTTATTTTTCATTGAACTGAACACCAAAATGAAACAATGAGAGAGTCAATAACCAATGGGTCAATGACTAATTGAGGTGTGCTTGAAAGCTTTTTGATTTTGTTGCTGTTTTTGTTGTAAAATGCTTCTGGAAACAGTCTAGTTTGGGAAAAAAAAAATCAGCATTTTCTAATGAGTATCATTTATTTGATAAATCAAATGGCCAGGTCATGGGTAAAATCCATTGTTACATGACTGAGGGAATTATGATCAACTGTGTGTGACCATCTTCTGCATCCTGAAGGTATACAGTCTAATGCAGGTGCATCTTCTCTCTCTGTTTTGCTGTCCAATGCAAGGGCAATCAGAGCTGGTCAAGCTCCTCGTGGATCATGGTGCCCGGCATTGCCTGCGGAGTGATGTGGGCTGGACTGCGGCTCACTTTGCTGCTGAGTCGGGGAGACTGGGAGTGCTTCGCACCCTTCATTCCCTGCACGCTGCCATGGACGCAGCTGACCTCTATGGCGACACTCCCAAGAGGCTTGCGGAAATCTACGGTCACCGAGACTGCACCAGGTTCTTAGAAAGGTGAGTAGCAATGGCCGGTCCCATTGTGACAGCTGATGGAGCTTCAGCAACGAAAATTAAATTACCTGCTATGTAAAGGACCAGAACGAATACGAGTGTGTTACTTGTCTTTGCACCTGAAGCCTATTAAAGCCACCAAGCACGAGTAGTAGATGAGCAAATACAGGTCTTTGTCATGGGAAAGCCATTGGGAAGATATTAATTTATTCCACTGCCTTCTATGGTTTGCCTTGGTATGTTTTCAAAATCATGACCGCTTCATGACATCATTGTTGTCATAAGGATATTACAGAGTAATTAAGCAATGGAAATGAAAGCAAGAACTATCAAATATTAATCCCTTAGAGTGGTGACGATTGAATACACAGGTTGAATTGTTTAAGAACAGCCCTTTAGCAGTGGATGTAAGTGTACAGTATGATTTGGCTTTTCTTGTACTAAAGAACAGAACGATCCTTTTTTTTTTTTTTTTTACATAATTATTGAAAGTTATACCCTTTAATAGGGTTAATAGGACAGCCACATACTACTTCCAAATTTCGGAAACTTCTTTATTGTCTTAACTCCTTACAGTTATCCCTGTGGCATCATTTGCAATGAGTTATATCCTTTTAAAGGTTTCCCAAATACCAATCCTGTTTTTCAGCCACTGATTTGTCTCATGGATATTCTCATCCTTGCAAAGCTGTTTCCCTGGATCAGGATGCTGTCCTCCAGAGGTCTAATCTTTCTCCCATACCTGCATCTCTCTAGAGCGGTGGGACAGATCACCAGAGGCGAACCAGCTTGTTCAATGGAAATTGTAGTCCCACACGTTACTGGTATTTCAATACACTGCTCAATGCTGTCATGTTTGCACTAATGTCACCATTAAGTCCTGCCAAGTCTATAGCATTTGCCACGCACTTCGCTGTGCACCAGAGCCATGGCAGTGAGGGGAATTGCCTGGCAAGGGTGGGGGAATCACCTGGATGATGCCCACGGGCAATGCCGGTGGCAGGCGGAGGTGCCTGTGCTGGTGGAGGTGGCTGGGAGAATGATTGACAGGATGATTGACACCCCAGTCAGCCTAGGGCAACTCATGTAGCTGATGGAGGGTTTGCTGAGGTGAATGACTAATTTAAGGTGGAAAACTTGTCTTTCAGAGCCATGTTCTGGCCTGACTCACCCCATGGGTGCGTGGCTCAGCTAGAGCATGGCTGGGAGAACTTAATAACTGGGAAGATGCTTTGAATGCTGATGCTTTGGACTTTTTCTAAGACACATGAAGCCTCTATGATCACCTCAGAGCCATAACGCAGCCTGTGGACAGCCAAGAGTTTATCACTGGGCTCAGGAACAATTTTTTAAAGCCCAACCACTATAATTTGCAGCCATGGTGGACACCTTCACCTTCATGCAATAGCTTCACCTCCTCATGTCAGCAAAGTTGGAGATAACTAGGAGGAATTGCTCGCATTTGTAGTATAACCACGACTACCTTCTGCTCCTTCGGGTGTGCAGAAGGTCCCAGAGGTGACGTCCATGGTCAGGCAATGCTCCACGGCTCCAGCGGGATCTGGGCAGTACCGATGTGCGCTGCAGACAGAAAATGAAGTGTGTGTGTCTGCAGTGCAGAGTAGGTCTGCCCTCCGCTCACGGTGTCTGTGGTACTGGTATGTAAATATGAGGGAGATTTTGTTACAGAGCATCACCGTCAGTTTGGGATATTTGCCTGTCATGCAAAAAGAGAGAAAAGGCAATTTTAAAAATAACAGCCTGTGCCAAAAGCAGGGCTGACATGCATATCTAAACAGGGCTATGAGCATCCAAATCCTTCCTAAATCCCAGTTCAGCCCCTCTAGCAGCACCGTGATCCTTGCACGCTGTGTCCCTGACCCCAGGTGCTGCTGGCTGCGTGAACATACCCCTGCCTACCTGGGCTGAGCAACTGCTCTGTGCTGGGGATTGTTTGCATCAACATGGAAATATCACATGTATATTACATGTAAATATTGTTAACATGTAAATATTAGGAATATTCTGATACAGAGTATCCAGACCACTCAATAAGGTTTGCATGGACGTGCAAAGAACTGGGAACAGCCTTCAAAATACAGCTTCTTCTGAGCAACAAACAACATTTGCATTAGATTTTTTTTTTTTTTTTTGCATGAGAAGAGCTTTACCCTGGATGCTGTGAGAGCTGCTGGGAACAGCACTGAGGTGACACAGAGACCCACAGCTTGTGCCTGCTGCTAGCCTCTCTGCAAAGTGCCAAGCATTGAAACTGCACCAAGGGCTCCTGCTAGGTAAACCCAGGACGTATCTGTATACATATGTATATATACATATAGATATATATATACACACCCACAAACATAATATGAAAAATATTTAAGAGCTGTGATTAACAAAACCACAACTGAGATGATAAAAAAAAAATCAGTTCTGCTGCCCAAAGGAGCATTTTGGTCTTGATGAAAGTGGTTTTTAATTTGTTTTTGTTGTTTGGAATACGAAGTGTAATGAAAAAAACATTGATATTTAAAAGCTATAATGAAAACTAAAGTAAAGTATGTTTATTTTCAGGTTAGCTTGTACAGTGTCCTTCACTGAAGATCTGGGGCTGTGCTTAATAGAAAATATGTGAATATCACCAAAAAAATTATGACTTTGGTAAATCACAGATGCCAGGAGCAAACTCATATCTGACTTGGAAATCCCAGGGTCTGGATGGATGATGATTCAGTGTCTCACATCCACAGGTTTCATACACTTGAACTCATGGAGATAATTTGAAAAACACAGATAAAAATACCAGCATCCAGAGGAGAGCTGTGAAAGATTTGCATATGGAGATACTGGGCTGGGGAAAATGGTATCTTCTACATCACGTTTTCCCATGCAAAATTTGAACCTCTGTGGCACAGCCTTATTTCTACGACATGGCTTAATTCAAGTTATTATCATTATAAAAACAGAAATAGGGATGAGTTGTCAAGTTGGATGCAAAGTTTAGCAAAAATTCAGGGCTGAATTGGATTCGGATTAGATAATTTCTGATCTTAAAACATTGTCTATAAAGAATAACTGTACAAACCCTCACAAATTCCAGTCATCTTCAGATCTGATACTTGGCACTAAGAATTTCTAGTACTTATGAATGAGCAGTACAAAAAGTAAAAGAAAATGGAAATGTTGCAGTTGCAGTGAGTTAATATGCCATGGACAACTGTGTTAAATGTGCTTAAGTCAATTTAATAGCACAGATATTCACAAGATCGGTCTTCGAGAGCTTTGCATGGTTAAAATTATGCTTCCAGTGGTAAGATTCTGGTCTCACCGTAGATTCTTATCGAAGGTTTCCCACTTCAGCTCAGCTCTCAGGACCTGGTCGCTTGGGGTGGTGAATGCTGTTGGATTTGGAGCCCCCAGTGTTTTCTGGCAACAGTGTTTTGACCATACCACTACATGATCCCCTGTTCCTGTAAATGGGCCGCTCAGGAATGGTGGTGTGACTGTGCTGTGCGTGGTATCTGAAGATGCACTCTTGCTTTCTTCCCCAGAGCAGAGGTGGAGAGCAGAAACTATCGCAGGACAGCTGCAATGAAAGGAATCCCCTTAGACCAGACAGATGAAGACTGGGAACTCAAGAAAGAAGAGCTTAAGAGAAACCCACCATGTCCACAGGAGAACTACACATCCCCTGCTCAAAAGAAAAATAAAACAAAAAGGGGGAAGAAGTAGTGTGCCCTGCCTACTTGGTGCCACTGAGAACCTGCAATGCAGAGCAAAGACACCAACAGACCTCAGGTGCATCTGCAGGGTGACATATGGATGAACAGGAGAAGCAGATGGACACAAGAATGCATTTTGTGATGAACTGTAAATATTGCCATTAACAGGGAACAGGAAGAAGTGCTTCTGTCTGTCTGTGTGTCTATACATACCAGAACTCAAATACCAGAAAACTGCAGAAGATGTTTGCATATACTAATACTCTAAGTCACTAAAATGTATAAATCTACAGAAATGACAGCAATTACACATATTGTCCGAGTTTGAAATGTTTTTGCTCCTAACTGATTCATGAAAGCATCTGGGGCTGTGGTTCTGCTCACGCTGGTGATGTCCATGGCCTTTGCGTGTTTGCTTCTGGTCCTGAATCATCCAGGAGGCTCTACAAGAGCTCATAGCCTCTGGTGGTGCCTCTCTCTTTTATTTGTCAGTGGGGTGTAGTTGCTTCTTCTGGTTGAAGGGAAAACTCTGATATTGACCTTTTGCTGGGTGCACAGGTCTAACAGCCTATATCTACCCTTCCTGGCCCAGCGAAAGGGAAAATGTGCTCCCTCCTTGCTGCTTTCAGACATCTGTGAGTGCCAAGACAGAGCACTGCTTTATTTTGTCTATGCTCGTAGCAATGCTGTGGAACCAGTCCTGAGCTATCCCTCTGCTCATCAGCACTTTCCATAGGAAAAACATTTTTATCTGTTTCACTTCTCAATCATAAGAAGTGTTTTGAATTTGACCCGAAGCATTTTTCCAGACCATGCCAGCACTGGGCAGCTGTTTCTATTGACTCCTGACATCTTTGATGTGTCTGCTTCCCCTCCCCTTATGTGTCTGCCTCCCTTCCCCTCTCCTTCCCCTCCACTACCCAAACCTGGTCCTCCTGGAGTGCCTTGGTTTCAAATGTCCTTTGCACCCAGCCACAACACTCAGGCATCGCAATCACAACCAACAACTCTCTGATCCATCTCCCTCTTCTAGATTTCCAGGGACTAGTCCATACATCTCCACAGAGGTGTCTAATTCCACTTGAGATGCTCTCGAGTACCCAAGCTGACCCTGCAGGTCTCCAGAAGATCCTGTGCTGTAGCTCCCAGCCCTGTGCAGATGTCTCAGATACCCTAGGACTTGTCAAATGACTCAAGATCCCTATATTTGAGCAAATGAGTCAAGCTCCAGCCTTGAGTTTTGTCATTTGCACTTTCCAAGCCATGTGAAATGTCAACTCCCTTCACAGTTGGCCTGGCTGTTGAATTAGTGACAGTGCAAGTGGAGACATGTGGGACAGAGTGCCTGTTGCCAAGCTCGTGGGTCAAGATAAAGACAGGGAGAGATCACTCACCAGTTGCTGTCATGGGCAAAACAGACTCGACTTGGGGAAAATCAGTTTAATTTATTGCCAGTTGAAAACAGAATAGGATGATGAGGAACAAAGACAAAACTAAAACACCTTACCTCCACCCCCCCGCTTCTTCCCAGACTCAACTTCACTCCTTCATCCCCAACTTCTCTACCTCCTCCTCCGGAGTTGTGCAGGGGGTTGGGCAATGGGTATTGCAGTCAGTTCATAACACATCATCTCTTCCACTCCTTCCTCCTCATGTTCTTCCCCTGTTCCAGTGTCGGTCCCTCCCATGGGCTGCAGTCCTTCAGAAGAAACCTGCTCCAGTATGGGCTCTCCATTGGCTGCAGTCCTTCGGGGCACACCCACCTAGTCCAGCATGGGGTCCTCCATGGCTGCAGGTGGATCTCTGTTCCACCATGGACCTCCCTGGGCTGCAGGTGGAGATCTGCTCCACCATGGTCCTCCCTGGGCTGCAGAGGGACAACCTACATCACCATGGTCCTCTCCACAGGCTGCAGGGGAATCCCTGCACCAGCACCTGGAACATCTCCTCCCCTTCCTTCTCCGACCATGTTTTTTGCAGGTCTGCTTCTCACAATTTTCCTCACTTCTCACTGCCAGGCAGTGTTTTTGCCCTTTCTTAATTGTATTTCCCCAGAGGAGCCATGGGCATTGCCAATGCGCTGAGCTGTGTCCTGTGGTGGGTCCATTGGAGCCAGCTGGAGCTGGTTTTCCCTGGCATGGGGCAGCCTTGACTTTGCTTCACAGAGAGTTCCATGGACCATCCAGCTGCCAGCACCTGGCAAGGACACTGCGTACATCTGCCCATGTGTCACTGCAAGATGACAGTGTGACTATTCCACACCGTGTTTTGCACAAAAGTGGCATTCCTTGGTGTTTTGCCAAGCCAGAGTCCATATCTTGTAAAAACATAAAAGCAGATGAGGAGAAGAGTTGCACAGAGCAGGGGAAATCATGGTTTTGCACGAAGTGGGGCAGAGAGAGGACACACAAGGCTGGCGTGGGAAGTAGGCTCCCCACCTGTCTGCCCGAGGCCATTTCTGCATTGCTCTTAATAAGTCTTTAACCGTCTCTATGTGAATAACTGTGATCAACATATTCATGCATAAGTTACAATCCAGTGCAAGAGAGTGATACAACTCCTAATATCACAAAGTACACAGCTACAGCAGAAATAAATGTAAAACAAAATGGATATAAATAGTTTCAATCAGCAAATACCAAAGCATTTTCAGAAGGTTTTCAGTATTGTTACTCCCCTTTTGCAGCTAGCCCATGTACCAGGTCTAAATTACTTTAGTTTTGGCAATAATTTAACTCAAAGAATTATCTAAATCAAATTATAATAATAATCTAACATAATAATTTAGTTCAAAGAATTTTAATGAAATTTTCTTAACTTACATGGTGAAGACAGGACATCTATTTCATCTACACTGGCTGGAGAGTTGCATTAGAGATAAAATTACTTGGTCTTTTTAAAACAAAATAACAACTTTTTTAATGGGCTCCAGCTTTTATTACATTTCCTACCTCCTGCAAACCCTGCACTTCACACAGGAAAGGGTCCTTAGCAGTGTCTTTTCCAGGTTTGGATTGCTGAAAATCAGAATAATGGAATGAACAACTGGAAAAGCATACTGAAATACTACAACGAGAAACAAGGCAGGATTTTTCTCCCTTGAGGTATAAATCAGCGTCAAGACCAAACATATGAAGTTAATGCTGTAAAGAAAGAAGAAGGACAGAATAGATTTCATGGCTTTGATGTGGGCATCCATGCTGAGGTTCTTCACTGATTTTGTCTGCATGTTGCGTTTGTGTCTCCAGAGGGAAAATAGGAGGAGAAGGGCAGAAGAGATTACTGCTGTGAATGCAGTGGCATATCCAAAGCCGGTGATAAAAAAAGTAGCGAATAAATGTTCATCCAAGTTGACACTCAGTTTCCAGAAATTTCCTAGGGTGGTGGAATTGTAATTATTCCAGTTCAGTTCATTAGTGATGTAGACAAGGATGCAGGTGGCCAGGGATAAAAGCACTGAACCCATCAACAGCCATGGCACGATCCTGTCGATTCTTACTTTCAGGTAGTTGAAGAAGGTGTTCCTGAAATTTGCAATTTTGATGCAATAAAAAACACAAAGAGAGGCAGAAACCCACAAGTTTGAATTATTGAAGAAGCTTTGAAGAGCTGCAGATAGCTGGGGTATGGGCTGAACAGAAAAGCACCCAGTATAAATTACGGAAAGAAAGGAATGGAGCCATATGATGCACAAATACCCAAACCTGTAGCATCCCAGAGACAGCAAGATCTTCTCATTAGAGTTAAATCTTTTCTTTTTGACCCAAGCAATACAAAGCACAGAAACAATGAAAATGTTGATCCACATGCCAACCAGTGCCTGAAGTGTGATGATGACCATGGCCATGGCGTCATAGGAAGTGATATTATATTGATGTTGTGAGTAACAAGCTTCCATCCTCCACAATGGGTAGCAGTGCTGTGCTGCGAAAGAAGGTTGTTGCACCAACGCTTAATGCAGGTTAGCAGCTGCCGTTCCCTGAGTGTCACATATGGCAACAGGAGCTTTATAGAGCTGCTGGTGGTGGGGCTTTTGGTGCTGCTCTTCTTCCGAGCAGGGCAGGTGCAGGAATGTAAATGTGTTGGGTATTCCCTTACCTGGTATCAGTGTCAGCCTTCAATATTTGAATTTCGGTTGAGAAGAGCTGTCCTGGATGACACAAACAATGTAGATGACACAAACATATGGATGTGACAAACAATGTAGATGTTTTTCTGCATTGGACGAGGTTGTGGCTTAGTGACTCTCCCATGTTTGGTCACTGTCAGGACACCCCAGGCAGGCATCAGTACTGACCATTAACCTGGTGAGATCCCGTCACCCGCAGGCTCTCAGGGATGCCAGTCCTGGCCCCTCACTGCAGTCTGGTGCAACTGCTCCCTTCCTGACCCATGACAACCCTCCGACTTCTTACAGTGCCTGACATCTGGGGTCTCACAGGCTGCTCCCAGGCTGCAGAGGATGGCCAGGGAGCTCCCCGCTCAGTATCTGCAGCCCTTCCCCTGAAAGCTGGGGGTGTAGCGTGATGCCGAGCGAGTGAGCAGAGGGGAGGCAAAGGCAGCAGCAGCACTGAGAAGACAGGAGGAGGAGGTAGCAGGAAGTGTGTGGGAGCAAGAGGGCTGCAGGAGCGTGCAAAACCCCTTCACGTGGTCGCCAGGAGGAAAAAACCTCTGAACAGTCAAAGCTCAGGTCGGCTCTTCGCATTCTCACAAAGGCGCCTTTCTCCTGCCCTGCTCCGCCCTGGCCCACATGACTTGTGTCCACAGGGAAAGCCCGGCGTGGGATTTCCACGCAAAACACCGGGAAGACATGACTTCACAGGCACATGAGCAGGAGCCAGCCAGGACCCCTTGCTGTACTCCTGCTCTGAGAGACAGAGTCTTCATGATCTCCTGAGGAAACCCAAACTAATTCATTTTGCTGGGAGTTAATGGCTGACATTCTGTTGACTACAAAAATAACTCTTTTTAAATTAAAGATGATGCTTTACCCATAGAATCGGATGAAAAAAAAAAAAATTGTTTGCATCTACCATGATATTTCCAGGAACACAAAAAAACCACCAAGCAAACCTTCTCTTGAAGTGATTTCTTCAGGCTGCAGGCCGTAAGCCTCTCATTGTGAGCAGGGTGTTTCTTCCATACTCAGCAGTTTTGTTGGTCTCATATCAGGATGGGGCCAGAATGGTTCACAAAGCAGAAGAAAAATTGAGATTATCTCTGAAGAAGTAACAGAAATATTAAATAGTTCAGTAGCTACAAGGGTTAATATGCTAAGAAGTTATAAAATGGGGAGGTAGATTGCTTATCAGACAGATGTGATGACACCAGAGGGAACTGAAAACTCCCTTCTATGTGAGAAAAAGCCCCAATGTGTAACGGATGTGGTGTGTATTGCAGGGCAGTTAAAAATATGGGGAATGATCCACCGCTACTTGTGGAAAAAAGGGGTAAGACCTTGGCTTTGGAGTCTGGTAGGAGTCAGAGAAGATGGAAGGGCAGGAGCAGGGCATGGGCCAGAGGACAGAAAGGTCCATAAAAAGTTGTTGTTGGAAAGGGAAGATACAAAGGCCAGGAAATTTCCACAAGAATAATTTTGTAGGTAGTCCACGATCCTAATCTTAAATGTAGAAACACGCTCAACTGCTCAGCCTGGACCAAACCTGCATCCATCCCCACCTCACACTCCCGCAGCACGACTCCTGGGGAAACCTTGGCAGTGGCTGTAATTCAACTTCTGCTTTGTTGGTGTGCATTTATCTCAAGTGAGTTGGTTGGTTTCACATAACTGATGACAAAGATAGGAAGCTGAAGTACCTTCATCCCTTGCTCAGGGTTTCAGAGCATTGTCTTGAGAAAGTTTGTGTTTCTTGGCATTGCCTGTTATCAGCTTTATGCTCTGGAGTAGGTTTCCTCTGGTTTTGCTGACAGAACATAAAACATGGTGCTAGTTTTTGTGTTTTTTTTTTTCTTCTCTCCTTATGTATGTGAAGAGAATATAAGTTATTTCTATAACAAAAGGTCTGAAGATGAACTCTGTGCTGGGATTGTGCCTGTATGATGGCACTAAATGAAAATGTTACACTAGCAGGACTGTACAACGATGGGGTTTGGACTCAGCTCTGTGTGGGAAATGTGGCACCTTAAAAAAATAAGGATGCAAAATAAGAGTCTCAAATGCCGTGTTTCTAAAGCATGGAAGATGTGGATCAGCTGCTTAAAGTGCAGATGTCTGTTGCCAGTTCAAATACATCTTCTCCAGCACCACTCCAGGAGGGGAAGGAGTCCCGAGAACTTTGTGTCTCCCAGCCCATGTGGATATTTCTGATACCCTTGTGCATCTCAAATGGCACCAGACACCTATGTTTAGGCAACTGGATGGACACACAGCTGTAATGGGATCTGAGACATATAGCACAGGATTTAATTGCTTCAATCTGAGCTTGATTCAGGCTCAGGTGTTTGAAAAGCTGGACTGAACCTCTTCCCTCTCCAGAATCCTTGTCCTTCTTTGATGATATGGGGAAACTCAGATGATTAGCCTAGATTAGCCAACTGGTTAGGCTGTGAGATGCCTAACTTCTGGACAAATCCATTCCACCTATATACATCAACTTCGGGGTTCAGAAGTCCACAATTGTTTCAGGATACAAGCCTGGGAAAAATAATAAAATATCTTCTGGGCAGCTGTTATGAACTTGTTATGGAAATCTTAACTCAGCCTCAAATCCTCCTTTGCTGCAGACAGACGACTGGCACGTGATAGTGTGGCAATGGTTCTTTGTTTGCTTGTTTCTGGACAGTTTCTGTTTAAAGCAAGATGGGTTGGTTGATGAGACAGCCTGAGAGATTCTGTGGTCTTTGAAAAAAATACATATTGTAGTTCTTGGTACGTTACTCTGCCCTAAATGGTTGTTTATCTCATTTCAGAAACGGGAAGGAAGCTTTTTGAAGGTGATATTATCTTACCGGTATGTGCCAGTGATCTAAGCCAACATCAGCAGGAGTGCAGGTCAGGCTTAAGATGTTGTCACAAGCACGTTGATCTCATTAACAGCTGGAGAGGAACGCTCTGAGGAACAGCTCCTGCAGATGGAAATTTCCCGTCCCCCATATCCTAGCTGACAGCCTGGGTAGTAATAAGACTTTTTGTTGTGGTAGCACTGCATTACTTGCATTAAATATAATCTGATTTTGTCCAGAGAGCTGATTTTTTTTTTTTTGTTTGCTGTTGAGTTACGCTGCATTAATGCCCTCATTGCTGCTGGCCAGACAGACCAGTGCAGCTCTGCCCCAGCACACGTTGTTTTCAATGTAACAGCCCCAGTGACCAGCTGGATACTGATGAGCTGCCAGTTGAACTGATATCAGTGTATCTGGCTCAGATCTCAAGACAATGAAGTCAGGAAATCCTGATCTCAAGAACATGCATGTTGATCTGCTGCGCTCTTCATGCCTTATCTCTTCTTAACAGTCCCAGCTCAGTGCAGGCAGAAAGGAAATGCAGATATTTCATAAGTAAAAAAGTTCAGAGCTTTCTCCCTTCTTGTTTCCACTCAATTTTAGGGACTATTTTAAGTTTGGAACAATTCAGGTGTAAAAACTAATACCAAATCCATGTTAAAATCCTATGGATCTCTCCGGTGTTTACTAGCACCAAGCTCAGAGTTTACAATACTTGAAATTATATAACATGCAATAAAATTACCCAGCAAAACCTGAGCAATGCCCTGGATGTGCAAAATTCTTCTTGTTTGTTTCAGCACTATCAATTTATCCAATAAAAGATATTATCTCTGCCTATGGCCTCTGCCAAAATGACTTCAGTCAGGGAATTCTGCTAACAGCCTCCTGATCTTTCATCCAGGTGGGTATTTTTTGTACATGGTCATATTTTTAATGCACGCTTGTTCATGCTTTCTAACTAGAATTATAGATATTTATAATATTGTAAAAGCAGAACAACTGCTAGTGTTATCCTCTGCTGGGTGTTTCAGACCTGAATGCTAAAGGTGTTATCCTGCAGGCGTTTGACGTGTTCAGGCTGAAGGGTTGTGTTGATTTCAGCCTCCATGAAGGGAAACAGACTTACTTGAAATTTGTAAAGCTGGACGGGTAATTTTGTATCAGCAATCTGGTTTGTACTACCTTGTTTGATATGATAGCTCTTCCAACTCAGGACATATTAGTTTTCATTCTTGCTTGTACAGAGGACATCAATACCTGAGCCACGTTTGTGTCCCAGAGCTCATTTGTATCACACTGGAGATAAAACCAACGCAGACAAACCAACCAAAGGCATTATCTGCATTTGATATTCTCCTAATATAAGAAAGCACTATTTTATTTCCATTTACATCCTAGCTGCTGAGGTGAATCCCTTTCTTGGCACTCTTTCAGGGGAAAAAAAAAAGCCACTGACTTCCTCCTGGTGTTGGTTAGGGTCCATCACTGGTGTGTTGGCATGTAGCTTCCTCCTTGTTTTCAGCTGCGTGGTTGGGTTTACCTGACCAAAGGTTGAAGCCAACAACCTCTGTGCGGGTCCCTGCTGGTTGTCTTTGCAGTCAGTGGGGATGTGGTGACTCCTCCAGGCCACAAACCATCTTACCTAAAATAGAAGTCTAAAATAGGTCTGGTGACTCACACCCCGAATGCCCGTTCCTGTCCAGGGACTGTAGAGGTGCCAGGGAGGCTAACCAGCAGCAGATGCCAACACTGTGAATGCCTAATGTTAGGTCAGGGGACTTCCCTCCTTGCTGGGAAGGACCATCAGGAAGCTGGTGACACCAGCCGTGTCCAGGAATCCAGTGTAGATCTGCCCTCGGGTGCAGGGACACTGGTGCACAGTATTTTTGGGCAGCTTTTTTTTTTTTTTTTTTTTTTGAACACACAGTGATGAGTTATTTCTGAACGGACAGGAAAAGTTACGATTTAAATCTGTATTTAGGAACCAAACCAGGGAAGCCAATGCAACCTGAGTTCACTGGAGGCTGCTCAGTACCTTTGAAAATGGGGCCACTTTTCTGGGTAATTTGGTAAACATACACATAAACAACAGCCAGTGCAGTGTAGGAGGTTACAAGGCACCTGCTGTACTTTCTTGTGCTGTTCATCTTCTGCTACTCCCCTTCCCATACTGGTTGAGCTGGGGCTACCCAGATTTGAAGAGCAATAGCATTTGCCATCTCCACCTCCTTTACAAGAACTTCAACCAGCTGAAGAACATTCCTGCACTGCCCTCCAGGGAGGGACGAATGCAAGGGGAAAGGCAGTCCCGTCTGGGACAGACTCATTGCCAGGCTGCAGCAGGATACACATTGCTCTGTGTTCTGGCATTGTAAATCTGCAGTCTTGGCAAGACTGGAAAACTCAGATGGGAAATTCTAAAAAATATTATTTAGTTTGTTTTATATTGGTCTTGGGGTTGGGTTAATATGTAGATACAAATTACAGAAGGTATTATGCAAAGTGGGTGCAATGTCTGAGTCTTTGCATTACAGGTGCTCGTCTTACGTGGGGACCTTCAGAGTGGGCACACGGTGTCTATAGGAGAGAGGACATGGACCTGTTAGAGTGAGTCCAGAGGAGGGATGTGAAGATGGTCAGAGGGCTGGAGCACCTCCCGTACAAGGACAGGCTGAGAGAGTTGGGGTTGTTCAGCCTGGAGAAGAGAAGGCTCCGGGGAGACCTTAGAGCAGCTTCCAGTGCTGAAAGGGGGCTACAGGAGAGATGGGGAGGGACTCTTGATCAGGGGGTGGAGTGACAGGACAAGGGGTAGTGGTTTTATGCTGAAAGAGGTTAGATTCAGATGAGATATTAGGAAGAAATGTTTTCCTGTCAGGGTGGTGAGGCAGTGGCCCAGGTTGCCCAGAGAAGCTGTGGATGCCCCATCCCTGGAGGTGTTCAAGGCCAGGCTGGATGAGGCTTTGAGCAACCTGGGCTAGTGGGAGGTGTCCCTGCCCATGGCAGGGGACTGGAACTAGATGATCTTTTAAGGTCCCTTCCAACCCAAACCATTCTGTGATTCTATGATTCTATGAAAACATGCTGTACAGTACTGACATACTGTGTTAACATATACCTGAATATTTCCACTAGATTCAGCAGAATTACCTCTAATTTACACCCTGAAGAAAGAAATGGGCGACAGATCTTGTCCCAGGCCGACTTAGAGAAAATGATGCATGTCTGAAAGGGAAAACTAGCAGGCAGGGGCCAAGTTGGTTCCCATAAGGAAATATTCAGCCAAGAGCAGGAGAAAGAGATAATGTGAGGCACGATGCAAAATCCAGCACTTGGAAGACCCACCCAGTAGGGAGAAAAATGAATAGGAGGGATGTTTAGGTCCCATCGTTGTCAAGGAAAGAGAAATTTCTTATTTCTAGAGGAACAAGTCTGTTTGGCTGTTGTCTGACAGGTTGTTTCCTTGCGGTTTGCAGGGTGTGAGGTTTGCTGACACCGAAGGCTCTGGATGTGTGTCTGGGGAGCTGACAGTGGCTTCCTGCCTCTCGGGGCCACTGACAGACAATTAACTGCTCAGCTTCAAGGAGAGGGAAGAGAAATATTTAAAACCTAAGCAGTCAGCCTTCATAAGCAACACTTATGGGAACATACCCAAGCACAGGCATGCCGTTGGAAGCAGCAGTGGGGCTCAGAGTGGCATCAGGTGGTATTTCAGAGTAACCATTCTCTACATGGTCAGCATGGCCTTCTTGAGTGGCTGGCTGGACACTGTTGCCTTGTCTGGTTTGGATCCAGACCCCGATGTAATCCACAGGATGTCCCTCAGCCTTCGCTTTACTACAGACCCAAACCAGCTAGTGTATGGTCAGAGTGCACTAGGGAGACATACAGGAAAGCAGAGGTTTCCTCAAGCTGGAGAAAAGGGTTGAAGGCCAAAAGACCAGGCTAGGTTTGCTCTCCATGTAACACGATTGGGCTGACTAGACATGAGCTTTAATTACTTCTACATTTTTGCACAGCAGGCAGAAATGACACCCTGAAGTGGGACAAACCATCTGTCACTGGAAGGTTTTCTTCTTTCTGCAGATGCTATATGAGCCCAGGTGTTGGCTGGCATATATTCCTCACCCACAGGGGCCTGCACTGGAAAAAAATCCCTAAAAATTACAGTCTTTTCATCTTTGCCGATTTTGAAAGTAGAATATTGTATTAACAGAATCCCCACTGGAACAGAGCAGGTACAGACTCTTCTATTTGTAAGGAAAGCACAAAAGATGAGGGTGATTAGCAAATATTTAGAGAGTCATCTATTTCAGGAACAAGGTTTTTAAATGTCTAGTGACTTGAGGTGCCTGGATTGTTGAATGCTCAGTATGAAACTCTGTGGATGACCTTGATTCTCTGGTCCCTGAAAGTCAGATTTTCAGGACAGATTAAACTTCCGTGTCTTGAAGATCAGTCTACTTAATGGAGTTCCTGTTTGTCACCACCTCTATATCACTTCTGACTGAAGAAAACTGTGGTTTGAAAATGATGGAGTTCTTTCTGGACCTTGAAAAACTGTCAGGAGGAGTTTTTGATGCAAAGCTTCTCTCCTGAGGTTGCAATTTTTGTCAGGACCATACACAGCTGCTCTGCTCTGCCAAAGGTGGCAGGGAAGGGGGAGAAGGAAGGAAAGAGCTGCCTGGTGCAGAGGGCAGCCTGGCAGGCAGGTGAGCCTCTGAACAGACCACAGGGACTGTGCGTGCCCATCCTCTGCGACAGCCACGTCTCAGATCCCTGTGTTCCTCTGACTTCATGTTAAGTGTCCAAAAATGAACTTTCTAGACTCCTTGGTCAGTCATTTGAGAGCAACGGGTACCTCTGGGGAGCAGCTGATCCCATTCTTCCATCGTAGTTGTGATGAACTGCTCTTCTGATGTACTGATCTCCAGTGGCTGCAAAGGGACCCGTCACTGGTGACTATTGGTGGATGAGAGAAATCCTACCACCCCTCTGAAGTGATTTTCTTTTAGAAAGTGTCAGTGCCTGGAAAGTGGAAATACTGTATATAAGTAAACAGTCATTAAACCAGACCTGACCTTAGTACAAGGGTCAGAGCACTTGTCTCAGATAGGAGAGGACTAAGTTAAGATTTAAGGTAAGGGGACTAAAAGCCAAGTGTTTTTCAGACTACTCTGATTTTTCTTCATTTTTTTCTGTTCCTTTCTCACATCCGCTGCTACATATCTGCAAATCATGGCCTTTGTGCTGTGTTTTGACTCTGCTCATCTGTGAAAACAGCCTTTACGTGATGTATCTTGAGACATGCTTCTCTTTTACTAGGAGTGTGCCCTGTTCTGCTTAGGCATCAGTGTCCTTTAAATAGTAGTTCGTAAAAGCGAGTGCTGAAGAAGACCTGTGTATGCTAAGTGACAGATGAGTCCTCTGGTTCCCTTCTTTTCAGAAAAAGAAAAGATCTCTCTACTTATTCCTCTGCAATGTGATCTCATACAAATAGCTTCCTACTTAGGTCTGGTTGGAGGAAAATATGTTGCTTAGGTTGGAGAACTCACCCCTTGCCAGGACAGGGTAGTCACCATACACAGGTACATTTCCTACTCAAAAACTACTTCTGTTTGAGGCTTCTTCACTCTGAAGTCCAGTGTCTCCATCTGATGCTGCTGGGAAGCCATTTGTGAAGCACCTTCAGAGCACTTTTTCTTCTCTGTGGGTGGGGTGGCACAAACCTTTTCCTACTGAATTGCTGATCATAGACATGGACATCCTCACCTTCATCACTTGTAATTTCGGATGTGAAATGAGGGAGCAGGATTCAATTGCCTACGTTTAAGGCAGTGAGATGCTCCAGGACACATGGGACATTTGCAAGGCGGTAGCAGGTATGATGCAGGACCTGTGGGAGATCTCCAGCTTCCTGCAGCCTTGGCGCAGTTAACCCATGTGCCCTCCCTGACCCACATCCTCTGTGAAAGAAGACAGCGAAGTGCAGGACAGAAGTTTGTCCTCCAGAAAAGAAAGGAGCGTTTTGCTGGAAGGCCCAGGATCTACCGATATGTGTGACCATCTCTGGAGGGAAAGGGTGGCATGTTGTGCAGGGTGGCATCAGTCCTGGATAGATCAGCTGTGGGAAAACACTGTCAGGGCATTCATAGTCATATCTCTTTTATCTCTCATCTTTACAATGCGATGTTAATTATTAATTGAAAACACCGCTGGGACAAGTTCTAATGTCACTGGAGTGCTATAAACCCAGAATAATTCTGATTAGGTATATGGCTTTTATGTTTTGCAGCTGAGATCGTAATGCTGACAGATACTAAGCACAGTGGAAGGTGTCAGCAACTTTGGGCCAGATTGAGGTCTTCTTGCACAAAATCTGGGTGGGTCTTTCACCAGCTGCACTGAAGGCATGAAGTTATCATTTTCCTTTCTGTAACACTCCTCCAGAGTGCACTTAGGTGACTGGCAACAACAATGCCATTATGTGCCCTTTAGGAGGTAAATCTTGCTGTTATAATAATTATGAAGGTGTAAAGTTCGAAGCTGGTTGGCTGATGTTCTGTGGAAAGCTCAGCAGCATGCCCTATATATTGCAAGAGATGAGAGGGAAAAGCTTATTTTTCCATTGCAAAAATGGGCTCCAGCATCGTCCCACTCTGCCTAGCGCTTCTGTTGTGTTGTGTTCATGGCACTCCAGTCTCTGTAAGTAGAAACCTGATTTCTACAGGCTCCTCTCAGTCCAGAGACGTTTCATATCTTTCACTAGTTGTATTTTATTCTCTTTCAGGTGAAGCACCTCTCCAGTGAAGCTGGTAAGTGCTCTGTGAACATGAGTTTTAAAGCATTTTCTTCTGCTTGCTGTGTGCCACCACATCTGAACACAAAATGTTTTCTCTGCTTTGCAGCAGCAGATGCTGAAGCTGGTGAGATGTTCAAAGACATTCCAGACATAAACTTAGGTGAGTTCATGTCTAAATTCTCATAAGGCTTGAAAAATTGTGAGAAAATGCTGAATTTTCAGTGTTGCAAAAAAGATGTGGGTGACTGATGGTTGGCCATGGTAACAAGAGAAACATAATTAAGTGAGCTCTGAATTACCTTCCTCTGGTTAGGTACAGACCTATCCTAGGGCTGTAACCCTGTATAAACAACAAATGCAGATGTCTTTCACTTGTGAAGTTTGTACAGACGAGTGGTGTTAAGGCTGTAACATGCTCTGGAGTCCCACCAGAATTTCCCCTCCATCTACACAATTTTTATAAAGTTTTACAAAATGGAAAATAGCTTAGATGTTTTCTTGAGCTTCTATATAAATTGTAAGGAAACCAAATACAAAAGACACAAGACATTGTACTTACTCTAATTTTTTTATTTCCTGTAATGCAAATGTCCAAGTTTTTCCTTTGATGGTGCACCGTACAATATCCCTTCTGATGCATTACCCAATATTACAGTGTTCTCCAGAGTATTGTCTCACAGTGTGACTCTTGCCACTGCCTGATAGCAAGCAAGAGGTTATCAAACTAGACATGGATAATGGTGGCCACCAGATTTCAGCCACCAAAATGCTGAGTAGTAAATATTGAGTAGCAGCTACTGTTACATTTAGGTCTGTCCCTATATTTCAGTGTAAAGAGGCTGGTCCCTCTTTATTTTTCTGTAAATGCCTGAGGATATAAAACTTGTATAAGCAGGCTCAATATGGTTTATGAGGTGAAATACATTTGATATCTGAGGTTTCATTTACATTATTTTTCATAAAATTGCTTTTCAGCTGCTGGACTGGATCTCTTTCAGGGTGATATCATGCTCCCTGTAAGTAATTCAAAATTCTGTGTCTATCACTGGTCCAAACTCTAATTTTGGTGCAAATCAGCCCATCTCCCCACAGCAGATGCATGACCAGATGTTAATTCCCTTTTCAGCAAATTCAGCGGAACGCCATAAGAAATGAGAGCTACAGATGGGAGCTCCCCATTCCGTATATTCTGGGTGATAACCTAGGTAACGCAGATACTTTATTCAGATTTTAGCTCCAATCCTTATTTGCACTGGAGTCACTGTGATAAAAAATTTGCCTTTTTCAGAACTGGTTCTCTCACAGTGAAATTCACTAATAACTAGATTGCTCCTTTACATCAAAACCTTTTTTTTTTCTTCTACAGCTATCATAACAAAACACAATTTAATAAAATCATTTTTCTTGTCAATCATTTTTCTTTTGTCCCATGCGTATATCTGTGTGTGTATCTTACCTCTCCGGGGTGAATGATCTGCAGTGTGCTAAAGGTGCTTTCCTGACGTGTGTTTTCCAGATCTCAATGCCAAAGCAGTCATTCTCCAGGCATTTGAAATGTACCGTCTTAAGTCTTGCATTGATTTCAAGCCATATGAAGGAGAGACAAGCTACATATTGTTTAGCAAAGAAGACGGGTAAGGGTTATAGCAATTTCTGTTTCGTTTTGCTGTGTAGCATCAGCTGGGAATTTATTCCGTCTGACTTCAGCGGTCTGAAAGTTTGGTCAAAACCTGTTGTCAGCAGAGAAACAGAGGCCACCCAGAAAGCATCCCATCTTACCTTCTTACACACAGCTTGGGAGCAGCTGCCTCTCTCTGCTGACTGCAGAGGATACTTGGATAATGAACTTGGAATAAGCATCTGACGTTTGAATCCCCTCATCAGTGAGTTTTCATCAGCTGCTTCCACTTTCTTACCTAGGGTTGTTTTCCATTTCAGTGGCGGGTTTAATGACCCCCATGTACATCCTTGTAACCTACTAAGGATGTGAATAGCCAGAATTTAAGTTTTGCAATCTTTTGAAGACAGATCAAAAAAATCTATGGGAAAACAGTTTGTTGTAATATTGCTATGGTTCTGAGGTGGCTCTTCTTTAATGAAAAGTCCTCTAAAAATCTGAAAGAGTTTTATAGTCAGATATTCAGGTTTCCCAGGAACTGGAAAGATTTATTTTATTTCCTACATCTAAATGTATTTTGAAATAACATGTAGAAAAGCACAAAAATATTTTCACCATATCAGCTGTGAATATTTCTTACTCTCCCAGAAATTCATAAAGGCCTGTAGACACCAATATTTCTGCCCTCAGCTCTTCCATGGGCAATATGTCCTATGACACTTACCTTACCAGACTGTGCAATCACCACGATTTTTGACAAGTTGCTGCTGAAGAGCCTGGTACCAGAAACTCCCCGGTAACCGCTGTTCAAGAGACTATAGGCTCAAGCTCTTTGTTTTCAGAACCCACATTAGAGCGTTTAGAGCTCCTGCACCAAACTTGGCCTGACATTGATTTGTGTTGTGCAAACGAAACTACAGTCCAAGCAGGTGCTCTTTAGCAGTTGCCTCTCACATCACCCTCGGGCTACCCCAAAAATTCCCAGTGAATTGACTGAGGAGCTCCTTTCCTTCTCAGTCAGGGCTAGCCTCTGTCCAGTCATGTCCTCACACAAAGAGATGTAATTTCCCACCTGCGGCCAATGCATTGCATAGCTGATGTTAAAAAGGACGAAATGCTGCTACTCTAAATCCTCCTAGATCCTTTCTCCAGCCCAAGTGATTACAAGAAAGCTGTCTGGATGAGCTTACTGTTTCTCTAGTTGTATTATGTTTCTTGGCAACTTTCTTGGCAAAATAGCAGCTGATATAGAACTAAGCTTCTCTGGATCTCAAAAATCAGGGGTGAGCTCGTCTAACATAGAGGGTAAGTAAAATGCTAGCCTCATTCAAGTGACAGCAAGAATGTTTTGGAGGCTTAGTCTGCTTCCAGAGTAGAGAGTATCTGTAGAGTATCAAGGCATCTGGTCAGTGTCTAAATAATGATTTGTGTTACTCCTTTTATATTTAAACCTTTTTCGATATCACTTTAAATCCAGTGAGCAGATGGAGAACTTAAATACAGAGAAGAAAACTCTACTCAGCAGACACTAACATCTCTCTCTTTCCCAGGTGTTGGTCCAGCGTGGGGGACCTGCACACTGGGCAGAAGCTTTCCATTGGGCAAGGGTGTGACTACAGAGCCATTGTGGAACACGAGATCCTGCACGCTTTAGGATTTTACCATGAGCAGTCGAGGACGGACCGGGATGACTATGTGACAATCTGGTGGGATGAAATTATTACAGGTTGGTTTTGACTTTCAAGACAGATTTTATAAAGTGCAGATTCACCCGTTTCTTCTTTTCCCTCCTAGATTTTAAAACATTCTTAAAGATATGATTTTTAAAACACTAGGCCACACCTGAGAACTCTGTAAATCAATCTGTAGATGTAGTGGGATTTTGATACAACTTCTCTGGTGAAAGACCAGAGACTATCTAAAGTCAGAAGAGAGAGAACCTGCTTGGAAGCCAGAAGACTTTTTTTCCCCTTGGCCCTAGGACTGGTCTGCTCTCTGATTTTTAACAAATCACTTCCCCTCTCTGAGAGTCTATTTTCTCTTGCCATGTAGTGCAAATTGTAAACTTACTGGGATGGTGTGTTGGGATCCCAACTTGTCCTGAGCTTTGAGGTGGTTCTTCTATAATGAAAGGTCTTCTCAGAATCTAAGAGGTTTTTATACTCATTGATTCAGTTTTTACTGGAATTGGGAAGATTTACTTTGTACATAAAGAAACCTCAAAGTGATTAGATCAGACAGGACACATAAAATAGGGATCTACCCTGCTCTCCCCTGCCTAGTGTGTCTCTGTAGGTTCTTGTCTTCATGTTTAGTTTCACCTGATCCAGTGGCTTTATGAGTTGCAGCAAACTCTCCACAAGCTCTCACTGGTCCCTAGACAGCTTCTCCTGCCCTCTCCTGTCAGGTTGGATTCCATACTACTTAATGATCATATATTTGAATTTCTGAAGGCATGCTAGCAAAGACTAAACTCTTGTTCCCAGTGGTGGTGCTTTGTGATGCTAGTGATACCAATGCAGCAAAGTTGCCCTGCCATTACTCGTGCTCTGTGTGGACAAACTGATCACTTCAGTCTCCAGGGTTATGCCCTCACCGTCTTTGCAAATAAGTGAAAAATACATGCAAAATAGTAATCAGAAAGGAACTAGATTCAGGGAATGCTGTGTTCTCGTTTGGATAGATAAGAACTGCTGGTACGAGCAATTTCTGCTGAACTCAAAGAGCAGTATCTGATATTTTGAATTGCTTTAAGTTGAATGGCCATGTGCGTTGCTACTTGCCTCTATCCTGCAAGTGTAGCGGGGTGGCTGAGCAATAGACAGGATGTGGATCTTGATTTTGCAGACCATCATTTTTATTGGTTTGAACAGCACTAAAACCAATTCACTTTATTCCTAACTTGGTCTCATCTTGAATCATGCTGATGAAGATGATGATCACAGTAGCATCTAGACTCTGACTTCTGGGCCCCTTTTTGCTACGCACAGTAACTAACCACTTCCAAAGCAAGAAGACTTACAACGTACTTACAATGCACTAATGTGAGCTCCATCCTGTACAGAGCTACAGAAAAGCTTGACAAATGTGCCAGTCCTCCATACATTTTTTTTTCAAAAAGTGTATAATTGAATCTCCTCAAATTATCGGTGGCATATTCAGTAGCCACAAACCTGGGACACTACAGAAATTATACAGATGATGGACTTGAGTGTGACACTGTTCTGAGTGGAGTCCTGGGGCTGGTCTGATATCATTACAGTCAATTCCTATATTCTGTAGGCTTCTGTCCAGACTATAAAATGCCATTTTCCAGTTAGGCAAATTCATTAAATAGAAAAATTCTACTGAAGCTATTTGAAAGATGTTGACTGCTCTAAAGGGAAATAAGGTTGATATGATTGTGCTCTGTGTGTGTGTGTGTGCTCACAAGCATGTGCACACATCTGTTCCCACATTAGTGAGCTGAAACTTTAATAACATGGTAGAAGTTTTTGCCATAATGTATTTTCATAACCTGCAATGCGCATAGCTGGCTGTTGAGAGACGAGATCCCCTATTCATGTTTCTGTTGACAGAAAAGCTACTAAGCCTGTTAGACTTCAGGAAAAACACACAGGGCAACCTAATGAAACAGCCTCCTCACTGTTTATTTCTTTTAAAAACACTTAGAAGTTGCCCTTTGTCTGGTAACAATCTTAAAAGCCAGCATCATTACACAAGCTTGTGTCCTGCCAAGATTTTGTCCCCAGCTATAGAGAGTGATATCACTGATTTAGCAAGATTCTCACCCTTTTTGATAAAAGGTGCAATTCAAGTATCTGTAAGAAAACAATTTCAAGCTCTTAGATAATCTCAAGCCTTGGACTGAAGACCTTTGCACCCAGAATGGACGTGCAGAAGGGAAAGGCAACCTTTATACAGAGAAACTGTAATTATCCACTGAGCGGAGTCCTGTCTTGTTTCTTCTTGGAGAGAGAGTGACAAATATTGTGAAAATATTTGTTCCTGGCAATGCTGACAATCTCTGTTACTTCCGTACCAAAGTATGTGAAATGGCTCCCTCTCTCTGCCCCAGCAGACACCTTCATCACAAAAAACTTTCTCTAAGAAACCGTGGGAAAAATGTTTCCAAAAGACATTTCAATAGAAATATCATAGCAATATCGTCAATCTAGGGTAAAACCATTTTTTTTAATAGTTTCCTAATGTATACTTTGCTTCAAAGAAGAACAGAACCTGGAGGCACCCCAGGACTGTCATACCTGTCCCCCTCGTGAAGGGAGGGCTCCAGAGCCTCTCCTTGTCTGTGTATGATCTAATATCCTCGGAAACATTTGCAGCAATATTCACAAGCTCTGGAATTAATCCTTACATTTAATCCTTCAGGATGCTTTATATTAGACCATCTAATCTGACCTCCTGTATATCCTATTCTTTACAGCTTATTGATATTTGATTTTGTACTTACTGAAGTCACGAGGGCACAGGACTGCAATCTGAAAACATTTCTTTTTTTGTCCAAATTACTTCATAAGCAAATCTTGCTAAATTCAAAGATTTTATCATAAAGTAATTGCTTTTGGGTATATTTCAATTCTGCCTCAGAAAACTGTATCCAAAGTGCCATGCTAAAGCCATTTCTTTTCCAATTTCTCTAAAAATGAATAATTTCTCTGTTCTTTCACCAGGCAAAGATCACAATTTTGCAAAGTACGATGACAGCTTCATCACTGATCTGAACACCCCCTATGACTACGAATCATTGATGCACTATGCACCCTTTTCATTTAACAAAAATGAAAGCATCCCCACAATCACAGCGAAGATACCAGAATTTGATAACATAATTGGACAACGTCTAGACTTCAGTGCCATTGACCTGAAAAGACTGAATCGGTTGTATAGCTGCAGTAAGTCATAATTTAGCCACAGCAAACTGTTTCTTTGTTTATACTTGAACCTGGCTAGTTCCCCTCCCTTATATCTCTAAACCTGCAAAAACTTTCTTAGGTGCTCTTGAGGAGGTATGGGAGAGGATCTGTGGTGTAGAGACCCAAACCCTTTGTTCCCTCCTCATCCCCCTCTTTGGCTCTGCTGTCATGACTTTTGTAAAAGTTCAATTAGTCAATGAAAGTCAATTCATTCACATCTTTTCTTCCGTGTTGCTCCTAGGGGTCTGAAATTTAGTTGTGTTCTGCTAGTGTCTGGGCAGCTTCATTATATAGTGTAAACAAAAAAACAAAACAAAACAAACAAAAACCTAGAGAAAAAATTTTAATGAGATACTATTTTGGAGGTAACCATGTGTGCATTTTTTTTTTCAGCTTCAACTCTTACTTTTTTGGACTGGTGTTCTTTTGAGCTTGAAAACATCTGTGGCATGATTCAGGGCACCACAGATGATCTAGACTGGGTCCATCAAGGGAGCAGCACTCCAGGGCAGGAAGACCACACACTTGCTGGGCGCTGTAGAGGTAAAACAAAGTTAAAAGAGCACTTTCCTATGGAAAAAGGGTGAGCTGGAGTAATGGTCTGTTGTGCATGTCTTTACTGGTCTGTGTGCTTTAAATATAGTGTCTTTAACTTCTCTGAACCTGTCATTGTAGTTAACCTTTGAGAAAACCCAACACCAACTACTCTGAAAACACTGGATTAAATGACCATATTCAAGATCCTTCCTAACAAACATCTGAGTTGCAATGTTTCTAGTGAAACAAAAGGTGTGAGTTTATGACTGCAACTCATGCTCTCATAAGCTTTTTCAACATAGTGGAATGTTCTTCACACCAGCAAGATAGAAGGGGACAAAGGACAGTCTCAACTAGAGGCCTTTGAAATATAACCTGGAAAAAGATTTACTGCAGCTTCCAAAGTCTGAATAAGAATTGTGTTAACCTCATGATAAGAATGAAACAGCACTCGTAGCCACTCGTAAATGCTGTGTTTGCAAAGTGAATTACAAGTTAAACTTGAGGAGAGCTGGTTCTGGAGGTAGAAGAAAGTTGCAAAGTATTTTATGATAGGTGTTTAGGGATAATTTTCTTTTTCACATGGTAATTTTTCCATTTTTCAAAGGAAGACAATCTCAGAAAGTCAGCCCAAGTCAGAGTTGCAGGGTGCTAGCTGGCAACTGAGAATAAAGATTAAATCCCAACGGGCAGTTCTGACAAGCAAGAGCCTGATTTGTCATTATTTAGACAGGAAAAGCCACAACAGACTTATAAAAGTTTCTTTTGTTGTAGATTTTGCCCAAGTACAGAATGAAGGAATCCTGGCCTACAGCACATTCAGCTGTGCTTTGTTACTCTTTGATAAAGGAAAAACTTGACTTGCTGCACTCAGGAGTAGACTTTTACCCTTATGTGACCCACCCACCAGAATGAAGAACAGAGCCTCAACCCCTTATAATGCTGGTACTTGTTGATCAGGTCTGAGAATGCAATATAACTCAATAAAGCCATCTGACAGCTTCTATAAGTACATGCTCCTAACCCTCATCTGACTTTTAAAATTCTTTCTCTTCTTCTTTTTTCTCTCATATAGTACAATTGTAGCAGAAAAATAATTTTGCTGAGTTGTTTGAGATTATCAGGTAAAATTAAGCACTTAACTTGCACTTATGCTTTAGCATCTTGTGACTCAGTACAAAATAAGTACCACTTACTCTGAAGAGTTAATGGAGAAGGGTGGGTGCCTCTGAAGATCTCCGGGGTGTCCAAATGAATTGCATGAGTACGGAGTGCATCTCCTTTTGGAGACCTTCAAAGGGCCATTGACTCCACCAGGAATTTAGACATTTTTGGAGAACTGGTTCTGAAGTCATCTCAAGTGGGGGCAAACTTTATGTTTGTAACACAGATGGGTCACATTTTGCCCAAACAGTTTTAACTTTGTGGTTTTTTGACTTATTATGGCTAAACAGATGGAGGGAAAGTATAGCCTACCCTTTAGAGAGGAGCTGGCAGCCTGGCTCTGGATTTGATCCCTGTATTCCCATGCTGAAGTTTGCTAAGGCCATATTCTGATTTCCGTAGATGGTTAATGTTGCCTTTATTTGACTTTCTTATCATAAAGGAGGTACACTCTAGATCATTTGGGGGCTTGATACCATAATAAGTTCAACAGCAAAGTCACGTACCTGAAAAAGGCTCACAGACCTGTTTCTCACTTGGAACAACAGTGATCATACTTATATTCAACATACTTAAATTTAACATAAATTGAACTTATTGGGAAGTGTCATGTGTGAGCATAAAGAAATTGGGTATCTTTGTAAAGGTTTCTGTGGGTAGGAGTTCAAAACATTGCTGCTGTGTGGGAGGTAGTGGAGAATATTCCCCTGACATGGTTAGAGGGAACATGATTGACAGCTCGAACAGCTCCACCAACCATGCAGGAGACTGTACTGCATCTAGGCAGCTACAGGGTTAACTGATTATGCCCCAGATGTTAGTTCGGACACGAGTCCAAGGAACCAGCCCCAACAGAGGAAGCTTTCACACAACAGCTAAAAGAATTTCACTTGTTCATGAAATCATATACTATAATGAATAACGAAAGAGCAATGTCATACAGATAAGATGCGACAAGTCCATGTGATACCAAGATAAGATACGTGTGCAAATGGTGCATCTCTAGTAAATATAAGAATAAAAGCAGACACTTAAAGTCTAAAGTAAAAAACACTTCAGAAAATGTTAGTAGGAGATTAAGCTAGAGAGGTAGGAATTCTTGACTAATTTCCCCAAACTGAGAAGATTAATTTTGAAAAGTCTTTGTGCAAGCTGTAAAAAAGAGCTTCTTCATGTTCAAGGTTGGGAGAGTGCTAATTCTGTGTCCAACCCTTTTTCAAAATCTTCGTCACTGATAAGAAATTATCTTACTCTTTACAAGGCAATAAAGCATATGATCTCTCAGATTGCATCTTTAGATGATCTTTAGTACAAATCAGGTAACAAATGTGTACTACTTACCTGCAGTCAGCACTCAATCCTCTGTCTCACATCTCGAATATCTATGAGGCATCTGAGTCCTAAGCAGACCAACTGATGCAAAATCGACATAAGCTACAGGAATGAGCTCCATCTATAAGCTAAACTACTAGTTCTGTTCTTATCCTGGTCTATCTTGGATGGTTATCATATACAGTTTCCTCTACTGTTCATGATAAGTACTGCAATTATGCCTACTAGAAGAGTGGAGCTGAAATGATAAGTTTACACCATGCAGCTAGCAGGAAATCTGGGAAGAGACAGTGACAGTCTGCATTTTCTTCACAGATGCTGGCTATTTCATGTACTTCAACACCAGCTCTGGCACGGCAGGTGAGCTGGCAATCCTAGAGTCTCGAATCCTTTATCCAAAGAGAACTCAACAGTGCCTCCAGTTCTTCTACAAGATGACAGGAAGTCCTTCTGACAAGCTGATCATCTGGTTTAAAGAGGATGATGGCACTGGAAATGTTCGCAAGATAAGGAAAATTCAAACCTTTCAAGGTAATTCTGGAAATATGAGGAATATATGGAATATTGGGGAAAGAAAAGTTGACTTACTGAGTCCATGAATGCAGTGGATTTGCTCAGAAATCAAAGTATTCTCCTGAAGCTACCAGAATATCTTGCAACTCGTCTAAGGATTTTGGTATTACATAAGTGCATTTAGCAGTGAAACTGTGGGCTGTAATAATGTAATCCAGATGTTCCAGAGCAGAAGTCACAATGTTCCTAATAATGTTATGTTACATTCAGAGACTGCGAGGGACCCCAAACTCTGCTGGAGATCAGTTGACTAGATCTCCGTTGGCTGTTATATATGTGACAGTGAATTGTTCAGATGTAAATCCTGTGCTCATCTGCAGTCAGTAAGAATCCCAGCCTGATTTTAATATGGTTGGAAATATAAAAGCATAAGTAATTTTGGAAATGTGAACTGAATTCCCACTTTGGGTGATTTTGCTAAATAGGACAAATTCAGCCACTGTGGCACTATGCATTTATGCTGTCAAAACCCAAGACCTGTGATAACCTGCCTCAATCAAGCTGCAGCAGTCTGCAGGAAAGGATAAATCCCTGGAAAAGTGGCAGCAATAGTTAATTCCAACACATTGGGTCATTGACTCCCATCCATTTCTTGTGTCTTGGCCTTTAGCCTGTTGCCCTTTATACTAGAGCCTGTCATTCACTAATGCATGAAGAGTTCCTATTGCATTGTGTCCAAAGCATTTAGATGATAAAGCAATGTGAGATAATTATAATCACAATATCAACTTAAGATCTCTAGCCTTCAGGACTCTGTGGGAGGCCCAGTTGTCCAATATGCAGCTGGAATGGATAGGTAGGAATAAGCTGCTTCATAATATCACCAATCATGCTGATGTCAATGTTTTGCTTTCCTTTCCTTTTACCTAAGCGGATGATGACCATGACTGGAAAATTGCCCACGTAACCCTCAACGCTCAGAAGAAGTTCCGTTACCTCTTCCAAGGACTAAAGGGCAACCCCAGCTCTTCATCCGGTGGGATTGCTATCGATGATGTCACACTGACAGAGACCCCTTGTCCCACAGCTGTGTGGGTCATTCAGAATTTCAGCCAAATCCTCGAAAGTGGATCACGTATTCAAAGCCCCCGCTTTTATAGCCCTGAGGGTTATGGTTTCGGCATAACTTTGTATCCCAACTACGAAAGCAGTGGCTACTCTCGCATTGCCTTTCACTTGTGCAGTGGCGAGAATGACGGTGTTCTGGAGTGGCCAGCTCTGAACCGCCAAGCTGCACTAACAGTGCTGGACCAGCACCCTAACGTCTTGGAAAGGATGTCCTCAAGCAAAAGCTTCACCACAAGCAAAGACCAAGTTAGCTCAGGTAAGTGGTGTCTGCCTGGAGGAATGATAAAAATGAAAGCCAAAGAACCCGAGTCAGAGGGCTGAGTGTGGGACTCAGAGCTGTGCAACTTTGGCTGCATTTCCCAGTTTGGGTTGCGTGCCTTTGTATGACTTTCCTGTGTATGACTCAGAATTCCTGTCCGTGAGAGATCAGCTAATGTGAAAAGTGATACATAGAAGGCTGGTGTTACTATGAACAATCACTGGAATATCTGTGTTTGACTCTAAATACAGAGTTCTCCTAAGAGCTGGCAATTCCCATTCTCCCTTTGGTTTGCCCATTATGATAGGTGACACATCACCATAGGATGGTGCAATGCCAGCAGGGTGCTGCATTCCGTTACTAACTCAACAATAATTTAAGTTAAAACTGCATTTTGAAGGCTTGGTTAACTTGAACATATATGGTCTGAATGGACAGGGTTCACATTGTAGCTGTGTTTAAGAAAAAAATACCTGAAACCACCTGTGAGATCAGCCTGCAGCATTTGAAGCCTGTCTTGCTTGGCTGGGTGTAGACTGCAGATTATTAACTCTTTCACACAGGGACTACCTTTTAACTCCAGGTTTGTATAGCATGTAGCACCACAATTCCACATCCAGCCCTAGGATTTCCCGTGGATGTGTTCATTCAAAGAAATAAGAAAAACAGGACAATATTGAGTGTGGTGCAGAATAAAATACTGGAGATGAATCTCTCTTCACTTTTTCCAGTGGAAGTTTAGTACACACTTTTTGAGCAGGAGGTTTTAAACCTTAGGTATGAATATGTTTAACAGAACCATAGCAATGAACAAAATCTGCTAGACTCTAAGCCAAACGTACTGAAAAACTGATGAGGGAGTGTTCTTATGCAGGAGGGAGCTCTTGGCTGGTGACAACAAGGAGATAACTTGCATTTGCTTAGTCCTCAATGAAAGGGGAGTTGTGGAATTTAAATGTCCTCACATAGACTAAGAGTTCTCATGCAGACCGTGTCTAAGGCACGTGCTGGCACCTATAATTTGTCAGTCCTCTGTGATTTGTTTGGGCATTTCAGCTCTGAACTTGATTTTATAGCATAAATCCTGTTGAACACTGTAATGCACAAAAAGTCACGCCATAGTGCCAGCTGCAGAACTTTTTGGTTCTTACTCACCAGTCATACTCTCTTTGCAGATGGTACCTTAATATGGGAGAAACCATCAATTTCTGGAACATTTGATGACTCGTGCAATTGCTATAGAAGTATAAACTGGGGGTGGAGTAGCTTCATATCCCATAGCCAGCTGAAACGGAGAAGCTTCCTGAAAAATGATGACCTTATTATTTTTGCAGAATTTAATGGTAAAGACCCTCCTCCTGTTTCTCCTCACAAAAATAAATGGGTGATCTTTTCTATCTCTTTTCATACAGCCAAGTAATAATTACTACCTGTCTCTGAGTCATCTTCTCTTCTAATGGGGATCAACTTTTAAAAGCATTTCTGTGTCTTAGTTCTAGGTGGGTGATGTTGACTGAAGTGATTGTGAATTCAGAGGAATCGAAATGGCAATGATTTACTGAAGATTAACTTCTTAGACACCTCTAAGCACCCTAACCAGTAGCTATGTCCATTTCCATGCACTGAACATACTAAAAGGTCTTCCTTGTGGTGTTTATTTTCAAACAGAACAGCCATGCTTGGCATAATTTTTCAAAGTACAGAATACCACTGATTTGCCTAACTAGTTACCACAATTGCAGTATTATTTTCTATCTTACGCTTTAAATATGTAGAACTTGCTGTGGTACAGCCAGAGCTCTGTAAAGGGCAAATGGACAAGGAGTACCCTCTGGTCCACAAAGCACCCTGTGAGCCCCTGCTATGAAGAGTACCACATATTGCATCAGTCACTGTTATCTGAGGTCTTTCTCCTCTCTTTTCTTTTTTAAAAGATATAAGTCACCTCACTAACACTGAAGTCCCTGTTGTCCTTGGACAATCTGCCTTGACGGAAGGGCTCGTTCTTGAAAGGCAGAAGAGAGCAGCCCAGGATATGGAGCCCGTCCAAGACCAGCTGCCTTATCTGCAAGACCCGTGTGACCCAAACCCTTGCCAGAATGATGGAGTCTGTGTAAATGTGAAAGGAAGAGCAAGCTGCAGGTACCACAGACCACTTCCCTGCTTGCCTTGGATTTCTTTTGACCCAAATGATGCAGCGAATAACTATTCAGAGCTACAGACCTCAGAGGTCTGAGCCACCAGGTTTTCAAGGACCAGTAGGAACAGAACACTTCACCACAGTGACTGGTTTCTGCTAGCAGCCATAAGGGGAGGCAAAGAAACTCCATTCTATGGTGCTTCCAGAGGAGGTAAATAATCTCCAAGGAAGGTGGGGATGCTGTGATGTGAACCCCTCTAATGGGAACTGCCCATCTGGGATAGTGAGTGTGAGGACCTTGAGGTGGGCCTACAGGGCAGGAGAAAACTCATGATCCATGTGAATCTGTTCTTTATTTTCCCAGGTGCCCGTCAGGACAAGCCTTCTTCTTTACGGGTGAGAGGTGTCAGTCAATGCAGGTCCATGGGAACATCCTGGGAATGACAGTCGGTGGCATTGCTGGAACCATTGTCTTAACCATCGTCCTCATTTCCATCATGGCTAGAAGATAAAGAGCTGCAGCCTGGTATTTTTCCATAGCTCATAAGACATCAGTTTTCAGTGAAAAATTATGAATAGAACTTGTAGATGACCAGTCAGTGTATGGATAAAATGCTCTATCTGCATCTTGGCATCAATCTGTAGCACTTGCACTTAAAGAACATCACGTAAAACTGCTGTCTAATGAAAGTCCATACCTTGCCTCTCTTGTGTATTCTTTGAATGTTTTGTTTCTTCATAAAATAGCAAGTGGTAGTGCTGGGAGTCCACGCATTTACTCTCAGCTCTCAGCTTACTCTCAGTTCAAACTTACATTAAATGGCTGGTAGAACCTCTCAAAACACTGGAAAAAGTCACACAGAAGCACATATATTAAGATTCTAGAAATTACCTATAGAAATTATTCAAGAAATCTAAAGGGTACAAATCCTTAGTTATGTAAATCAGTACATCAATACTCATTTTCCATGGAGCTGTGCTGGTTTACAAAAGCTGAGTAGCTCTTACATAGGATTAATAGTAAACTACTGTTGTATATTTTTGGCCAATTCTCTATCAGGGAAATAATTTCACATTAGAGCTAGTTGTCTTTCTAGAAGGCCTGAACACATAAGGTTTTCAAATATTCAAGTGAAAATCTATTCTCTAGGTATAATCCAAGGGGTTTTTTAACTTCTATAAAACTTCCATGATTTCAGCAGGCTCTGGATGAAACTGGAGCAGAGCATCAGTTATCATAGGATAGGATCTGTAGTGGTTAGCATTAAATCCATATCTCTTTGGAAATCATCATCTCACAAGTCAAGGAAAGGGGTGGGAGTCTGTGAAGATGAAGACTGAGTCTGTGGTACTAAATTTTGCTGGATAAGGTGTTAACACCCTACAACTTATTGCAGATGGCAGGAAGCAACTGATCTGGTGTGTCCTAAGATTTCTGCTTCCAAGGGCTCTAAGCTTCCACACTTGAAACGTTGTTAGCCAGGCAAAAGCCTCAGTGAAGTTCTCGTGAGCTCACAGGTATTCATGGTTGGTAGAGCTTGTCTGAGCTGCCACCAAAGGAGGGATGGGCAGAACGGGACCATCCCAGACCCTGGTGAGCCCCAGACAGACCTTCATCACCTCTGCGGCTCTGCCCTCCCCATAGCACACCCAGTTTCCAGCCAGCTTCTCGTGATGTGAAGAAAAGAGTATTGGTGGGTAGAGGACACAAGCCTGTAAGGAATGAACCTCATTTCTTCTGCTAATGGTGTTAACGAATCCACCTGAGGTCCCAGGTGCTACAAGGTGACATGCAGTTGGACATACCTTACATACTGGGCACTTTGCACATGGGTGGGGCTGGGGGAGAGCAACTTTTAATTTTGCCTAACTTGACTTTTCCAAAATGCAGCTGTTTCCTGAACATGTTTCATGGGGCAGTGTAAGAAGCAAACATGCTGGCCAGACTGCTGAATCATGAAAACATCAGAGATCAGAACATAATTGGCTTTGCAGTCCAAAGAAAAGGTATCACAGCGTCACACCTGTAAAGCCCAGTTCTGGGGCACATTGATTTTCACTGGCCACTGTAGTGTGGATAGAATGGTCATGGGCTCTTTGCATTGTTCATATTGAAGGTTCGCAGAGTCTTCAAGGAATCAAGGTTGAAATCTGGGCTTGAGCACATGTAAGAGTTGTTCAGCAACTGTCACAATCCAAAGACTCTAAGCAGGGAATGTGAGAGCAGGCAGGTCTGTGCTTCAGAGACTTGTATGTCGCCATTTCCTCCTTTGCTATTTTTCTTGAGCTGAAATAAATCAGAGGAAGGTGCCAAGGCAGTGACTGCTCTTCAGGATTTGGGTTTTGCAGTTTATGGGAAGCCTATTCTAACTCAGTGGGAGTGGATAGTTCTGCAGCAGCTCAATATTGCACAAACTATTTCCAGAGTGGATTAGACCCAATGGCTGTTCAAAGACAAATTTTGCTTGGAAAAATGTGTGACGGTCTGATTTTCAAGTTTCCACTGGTCATACAGTTTAAAGAGATTCTGGATTTTCAAATATTTCTTAATGTCTGTGTTCTAGTTCTAGTAGTATAACTATATCTTCAAGCAAAAAGAAATTGCTTTCAATATAAGTAATAAATTTGATGCTGTTTATTGTCTTCATTCATCACCACCTGTCCATACCAAACCATCACACCTGCCTGTAACTGTAGGCAACAGTTTCCCATCCTGGTTCATCCCAAAGACCTGGTAACAGGTTCACTATTGGTAAACCTACGCCTGAATCCCCACTAACCAAATGAGGCTGTACCACCTGACAGCAGTATTTTATATTGTCCTCAAATCTAAATCTGCATGATTCCATCTATCATATTTTACATTAAATTTTGTAACACTTGTGTGCCCTGTAAATATTTTGCAGGGTCTCTCATAGACCTCTTCTTCAGACAGGAGTCCTGCCTTTAAAAAGTATACAGGCTTGGAAATAACCGATTCCACAAATACAGTGTTAGAGCAATAATTTATATAAAACCTTTCATCCTGCCTGGTACATGGGGGTTTATATTCACTGCAGAGTTGACTCCCTGAGACCTCCAAGTGTGACTCTCCTCTGAGAGGACACCCAAACATACACAAGAGTCTCCTTGCATACATAACATTACTGTGCATTAAATAAATGCAGTCCCCTCTGTGGCAGAGGGCAGCAATCATCTCTGTCTTACCACATTATATATCAAGGGAAGGACAATTATTGTTAAGGACATAAAGCTTCTTTTTCTTCAAAAAAGTGCCACATGGAGCTTTGAGTACATTCCATCTGAAAGAAGACCATGCAGGAATCATCACAGTCTTCATTTTGTCTATGTCAAAAGTGAAGATCTGAAATGGACCTTCTCAGTTGTGAATCTTCAGTTCCAGAGAGTCTTAAATAGAAAGTGGAGAGCACTATACCCTATGGCCTCTCCAGACTCTAATGTGAGGGCAGGAGAGGAGCTATAAGGTACTTGTGTGTCTACACAGGCCTTTGTAATCATTCAGAGAGCTGAAAGGGGAAATAGTAAAGCTACTGGACAACAGCTGTGTATAGCTCTGCAAGTCATGGCTCAGTACTGCATAGTGCTAAGCACCCTCCTAAAGGCTGAGAATTCTTCACTCCCAGTCTCTTTTCTGGCACTTGAAGACTTGCAAATCCTTCCAAGTTGGAAATATCTCGTCATCCGTCCTGGGTTTGGCAGCCCCTGGAACATTCCACCACTCAAAGCTTCCCTGCCTTACACGTTAACCAGAAATGATTATTCCAGAAGAATGCACCAAGGCACGATTTAGTCAAAGTGAAGCAGTCCACTTCTTGATGACTCACAGGTGCTTTCTGTGTGTGTCTTGGAAAGGGCAGAGGTCCTTTCGGAGTTATGTGATTAGCATTTGCAGTGCCTCAGTTAAGCAAAGAATAGGACTTGGAAGTGTTTTCAGACGAAGAGCTGGATGGCTCTGAAGAAGACACTCTGTATTTTCCTGCAAAACAAAGCATGGTGGTTAGACAGAAGGACAGATAGCCTGGGACAGGTTGGCACTGCAAAGTAAGGATGGTTAGACCTGTCCTGATGACCCAGGTGGCTTTGACTTGGTCTGCAGCCCTGATACTAGATGGATTATGGCAATATCAGCAACCACAGAAGTCAATGTGTTTGGTGACACAGCCAGGATATGTCATCTTGAACTGATGATCATGCTATAGGGTAGTAATTTACTCACACAAATGGAGGGACTTACTGGTCTTCCTTGAGCATGGGGATGCATCTAGAACACGTGCTCTTGAGATGAATCCCAGCTCCCTCCCTCTTGTGACCATGAGGCTCTAGAATAAGACTCAGGTGCACAGAGCCCAAGAGCGGAGTGTGAAAGAGAATGTTAATAATATGGGAGTTTCAGGTGGCAGCAGCATGGAGACAAGTCTCATTCTTGTGGTGGGAGGCTTCTCTGTCTGCCTAGTGTACTCATGTAAACTTCCTGCAGCACAGTCAGAGACCAACTTCTTGTTCCATTATCTGTGACTCTTAAAAAGCAGTTGCTTGCCTACGTTAAACTCCCTCATATCCCACTTTGACCAAATGTCACCATCTTCTTTGAGCAGTGGTTGGATGCAAAGATTACACATCTAGGAATGAAATTACTCTGTTATCTGCAATGCTTCTTGCAAAATAAAGTCATAACGGAAATGGTGATGTCCACAAAGTGACTGCCAGAGAACCTTCGGAAAGATACAAGGTGGTGAAGAGTACACGAGCAGTAAATGAACTGAGGAGCACTGTGTCATGATATAACTAATCTCAAAACAAAGCTCAGTTAGTGGGTTTTAGAACTGGTGAAACATGCCACCATCCAATACTTGTGTTAGTGTTAGGCAATTATGCTTCTAGCACTAAGTTACGATCATAAGCTTTTATGCTAGTGAGATTCCAATGACTTATTACAGTTCCTTTGTGCTAGAAGATGAAATACCATCTATGGGTGGATGGATAGACAAACAGTTTGACAGACATCAGGACAGACAGACCCGGGGAGTGAGAACACAGGCAAAACCTTGTTTGTGCTTCAGTAGGAGGGATTTATTGTCATACCTGTTTTCCCACATAAGTTGTTAAAGGTTCTTGAAAATGGATAGCTCATAGCAAGCATTGGCGTCACCAGGATCAGGGAGGTTGACTGTAAGAGAGAAAATTGCTTTTTGTCAAAAACCTAGAACTTTCTTTGTATTCACATTGAGAGAAAAAAAAAGGTTAAAATAAATTTTTGATCAGTAGTACAAGCAGGCAATCCACAGAGGCAGAAGTTAGATGTTTGTGAGGCATCAAGTTCACACATTTGCATGTTTATGATGACGATGAAGAAGATCGACTTTAAAAGAAACTACAGGACACAAACAACCTGTCTCTAATGGTTGGCCAGGGAGGATGGCTTAGGGACCAGAGTCTGTCATATCAGACAGTACGGAGTTCTGGCCCCTTATCTGAGGGAGTATATCTATTAAGATACCCAGAAAAGCTGAGATTTATATGCTTGGGAATGGTCGTTGAAGGCCAATAGCCTAAGATAATCAGACGCAAATTTCACTTGACACACTAGAGGGCATTGGAACACAGCTCTCCACAGTCCAGATGGGAAGGAAGAAACTTTTTGCTGCTAAAATGAACTTTCTTTTTTTGGTTCTGGAGTAGTTTGAGAAATGAGTGGGATTCCTTGAAAAGACGTGTTAAAAAGAAGTATGGAAAACATATTTTTTCTGTTTAGTCCCTCTCCGTTCCTTAGGTTGTACCGTGGTGAGGGAAATTAGGCAGTTTTGTGCGTTGTCACCAATATCATAAGGTGGTAGAGGAAGAAGGTAAATGAATCACATCTAAAAAGTTTGATCAAAGACTTTGAACTTGCTTTATTTATTGACAGAAGTGCCAAGGAAATATGCCAGTCCCCACTGCCTGAGAGAGCTTCCACAGTGTCAACTAGACTTGGAAGTGTCTGGCCCAGGAGATTTTGTCTGAAAAGGCATTCAGAATTGGGATCCAAGACTTAACAACTTGTTCTCTCTACTTTATTTGCTGGATGTGTCAGTACAAAAGTGAATGAAGAAACTGACATGCTTAATGATATCAGTTATTCCTGCCTTCCTTCTAGTTTCCTGGGAAAAATTAATGTTTCTCACAGTCAGAATAGCACCACATCCAGCAGATGTCATTTTCAAGCCAGAAAGAAGGAATGGCACTTTAAAAATGCATTAGGAAGTGTTCCCAGACCTGAATTCCCAGGAATAATCCTCTGACAGAAAATGCTGGAATACCTGGGAGTACCAGTTAAAAAAATCCAGGTAGATGGATTCTGGACATCCTAAATGAAGAAACATGAGGCAGAAAATGCATCTTCCCTGTCTTGTCCTGACACAAGATCTGGATGTTGTAGGTGGTTGGAACACTTAAGAGTGCTGCTCTGCCTGGCTGATCACAGGCTGCCTTACCCCCAGCCTTCAGCACATTGCTGGAGGGGACATGCAGAGAGGTCTCTACTGCGTCCAATACTGGTTTAACATCTTCATTAATGATACAGAAGTGCACCCTCACCAAATCTGCAGGTGACACAAAACTGGAAGGAGTGGCTGATAGATCAGATGAGTCTGCTGTCATTCAGAGGGACCTCAACAAGCCAGAGAAATGGGATGACAGGAATCTTATGAAGTTCTCTAAAGGGAAATATGAAATCCTCCTGTCCCTGGGGAGGGACAACCCCATGCACCAGGACATGCTGGGGACTGTCTGACGGGGAAAAAGTAAAGACAGAGCCAGACTTTTATTGTTTGTTCCCAGTAGAAGGACAAGAGGCATTGGGAACAAATAGAAATACAGGAAATCCCACTTAAAAAGAAACTTTTTCACCAGGAGGGTGGTCAAACACAGGAAAAGGCTGTACAGAGAGATTGTGGAGTCTCCATCCTTGGAGCTACTCAAAGCCCAACTGGACACAGCTCTGAGCTCTAGCTGACCATGCTCTGAGTGAGAGGGTGGTACTAGCTGATCTCTGGAGGTACTTTCCAAGTTTAGCAATTCTGTGGTTCTTGTGGAAGATGCAGTGATTTGAGCCAGTGCTGCTCCTCTGAGCTGACAGTTCATCCTTAATGGACTCCCTAATTCCTTTGAGGCTATGTGCCCATCTGTCTTAATTATGCTGGTTTTTAAGTCTGCTTCCCAGTTCTTTAGCAATACCTGTAGAGGCTCTTCTGAATAAACCCTGTTCAGATACCAATATAATTAAGCTCTGTTGTCATGTAAGAACAATTCATCATCATTTTCTTTTTCCACCCCAAGTGCAAGGGGTTGGATTCTGATGCCTTCAATCCCTTCTCCACCCTGGATGGGCTTCTTTGATACAGGGTTATAAATGCAGAAGTGTAAGCTGAAACAAGCATTCCAGTGTTAGAGTATACAGAGTTCTCCATCCTCTTGCAGCCAGCCCAGATAGAGGTATTCCTGTTGGCTGAAACTTGTCTATATTCTGTGTCTGGGAATGTGGCCCCTCTTGTGCAGAAGTAGAGATGAACACACCTTTGGCATCAGAAGGAAGAAGATAACAAACCACTCTGTAGCCATGACATTACTTCAGCCAGCAGAGTTCTTTGTGAGGTGAATATCAGTCTGTAGCCTCAGCTCTTGGCCCTCTCCTAGGGCTGTAAGACATGTCCTGGGTCACTGGGGCTATGGCCTCTCCGTGGGCAGCCTCCTATATTTGCTCTAGAGGTTTGTCAAGCCTCATTGTAAAAGCATTTAATTCTGTGGTTTTACTCCTTTGTACTCCTGGTACTTGTTCTGCTCTGCATCTTTCCAAGTGGGCTATATATTTTTTCAACCTGTTTAAGCTCAGTTGTCCCCATGCCAGCATTTGCCTGTTGCTCAAATAGCTCTGCCTCCCTTTAGGCATTGTGGTTTCCTATGGTGCCATGAGATCCGTGGAGGTGAAGGATGCATGGAGAGCAGAACCAGGAGCTGCTAAAGATTAGAAGGTGTGAAGGCAGCAGATACACAGCTGTCTAGCCCCATGGCTGCCCAGTAGCTGATAGCAGCTGAGCCCTGTTTTACCCTTTTCAAACAACCACTGAGCATTTTTTTTATTAGAGGCTTGATCTCTAGAGCACAAATTGAAATGGAATAAATTTAATTTCATCATAAGAAAAAAGGGTTTTTTTTATGCTCAGAGTGGTAAAACACCACAGCTTTTTGTTCAAAGAATTAGTGGATACTCTCCAGCTTTAGAGATACTGAAAACTTGGTGGGACAATTTTCTAGGCAACCTGCTTTAATTTATCTTGCTTTGAGCAGTGGGTTTGGATTAGATGATCTCGAGAGGTTCTTTCCAGCCTCAACTGTTCCATGATTCTGTGACATCTTTTAACACTGCCTGTGTTTCTGTCCTAATTGTATTCCTTAGCAGTTATTTTCCTGAGGCACTGTGCAAATTTTATTTTTTTTATTTTAAAGATGGTAGCAGAGCTGGTTTCCCCCTTTAATGTGAGTGCCTGTCCTGAGCATTTTGAGATGCGCATTCAAGCTGTGCCTCAGTGCAGGGAGGAGTGCAAGAGCCACTGAGCCAGAGAAAGTCTCTGTGGATGGAAGAGAAACCTTCCAGGATCTTCCTTAAGGATCCAGTCCCTTTTTGCAACATTATTTCTTTTTTTTTTCTTTTTTTTTAGGCACTGAATATTTTGAGTTAAATGCGGGAATTTGCTGGGTATGGCACCCAAGTCTCTCCTCTTCTAAGGGTGTGTCCAGGCCACTTGGTTTGAGAAACACATTGATTTATGTTTTATCTTTGCTCATTAAAATCTGAGTCTTTGCAAAGCAAGGACATTATTTTGACAAAAGACTCATACTTGCTCCCATTTTCTGTTCCCAGCATAAAGCGGAGGCTAACCTGTCTCCTTGTCTCATGAGTTCAAGTTACAATATCTCCATCCTTTCCTGCTCATAGCTGAAGGGCATCTTCCCCAAGAAGTTCCCTTTGCATTTCTCTTCCATTGTGAGTAAATAATAGTGCCACTGAAATTTTCTGGTTTATACCTTAGCTTCAGTTACATTTTGTTGTTTATTTCTTGTGAAATTTAGAGCAAATGTCCACCAACCTCCTTCTCATTTTTTAACAATTACAGGTGAAATAATGACCTTTGAAAAAAGAGTGTATGTTCATATTTATGTTGTTACCGTCTTCTATTTCTCTGACTAGTTCTAATAAATAATTCAGAATGTAAAGTGCATTTGACTTAAAAGACACTTGGAGAATGTTAGACTGTTCAGCAGTAACTGAAATACATTCTTAGGTCAAGGTTCTGACCTTTGTTTGCTGAGAACTCCATTTGGACAGTGAGTTCCTCTTCAGTAGGGCTTCTTGTATCTATTTGTTTAAAAAAAAAAAATCAGTAAGTACAGCAATTATCTTCAAATTCCAACAGTATTTTCACATAATATAAAAAATAGTTGGAATACTTACCCTTTTGTCCCAGAGAGTCCCAAACACCAAAATGAATAATCCCTAGGAGACAGATAAATACATGCAGTTTGATGACATCAACCTTTTAATTGCTGTACCTCATAATTATCTCAAATATTGCCCATGTTGACTGTTTAAGCCCTGAACTCTTTGACAGACAGCATTTTTCTAACTGTGTCTCACGTAGTGGACTGTTGAGGAGTTCCCCAGGCCTGGTCTATTGGAACTGTGTGTATATCAGGTCTACCAAGGTGGCACAGAGAGTTTGCTAGCACTGAACATATTTGGAAGAAGGGACTTTTGTGTATGGAAGACACACCCTGCCTGTGCTCCCCAGAGAAGCTAGCAGGTTCACAATGCAAAAGGCAAGTTTGGTCTGAAGCATAGAATTTTGATGCCACTCTTAAGAGTCACACTAGACATAGCTATTGTGTCCTTAAGAAATCCTCTTGTATTGGGATCCTACTGGCCACCTAAATATGTTGTTGTACAAATCATACTGACTACAGACTCTCAATCATGTGTATTTGGTCAATTCCTCTCTTTATTATTAGTACTACTCAGCTGTTCTTGGTGACTTTCATGTTGTTTATATTCTCTCATTACTTGAACCCCCAAGAGCATAATATTATGCCTCCAGATGCACTGTAAATTAGACCAGGCATGCTGAAGTTTGACCACTTGAACATGATAGGGCTATTCTCCTGATCTTCAGGAATGAAGTTCTTCCCAAAGCTATTGGCAAAGCTGGAAGTTATCTTTATATCAACTTTATCTAGAAGGCACATCTGTTGAAGCAGCTGAAAATGCAAAATACTGCTGAATTCCTGGAATGTGTTTCCCAAAGAGCCCTTTGGGAATAAGGATGTGTAAGGCAAACTTGAGCTCTCCTAAGCTGTTTTTATTCCCCTCCAAGCACAGCACGGCAAGAATGTCCCTACGTGTTAAATGGTCATGAAGGAAACAACATGCATATGTGTAACTCACCTGCAAAGCATTGAGCAGAGCAAAGAGGATGTGGAAAACTCTATGACTGTTTTTGATGACGGTGGCAAAGCCAAATCCCCACGTGAGACCTAACAGTGGTGTCAAGATGGCTACACTTTTGCCAATTTGAAACAAAGAGTTCCTCTCCTGCCTGTTTGACCTATCCCCAATAGTTGGCCTCAGTATTTTTATTATAACGACTCCGGTGATGAACAAATTCATGGCCACAATGATCAGGGCAGGTATGACGAAGGCCAAGAGAGCTTTGCTCTCCTTCCAGTTGAGCCAGCAGACATCCTTTCTGGTGTAATTGTTCCTTGGCAGTGTGACAGCGATGGTGATGACGGCAATGACAAAGGGACACCCATATCCCAGACAGAAAGCCACAGCTTTCTGAGCGGTCTTGCTTGTGTCATGTAAGATGAAAACCAGTCTGTAGAAAAGAATGAGGCCCAGGCTGAGCATCCAGAAAAAGACACACAGGTAGAACAAATGGATGAAGAAGGTGGCCACTAAACAGATATCTCTGCTCATCCGTTGGTTTTGGTCATTGATGGAGGCAGTGACAATGAACCAAACGTCAGCAATCAGGAGTGATATAGATATGTTGAGTATACAGACATGACGCATATAGGAGGTTGTGTTGTTTGTCACATATTTCCAGACTAAGGATTCAATTATAATGCAGGCCACCAAGCTCAGGATTGAAATGGCCAGGCCAATGTAGGTAATATAATCTTCCAAGATTACCTGGGAGGATTTATCAGGTGACATCAGAATGGAGAATGACGTCAAGTGATTGCAAGAGCAAATGACATAATCTCCTACCTCTGTGGGTGTGCAACCACGAGTATCCCAGTCCCCGCTATATTTGTTGCGTGTGAAGTTCCAAAAGACACACTGGGGCATCTTTAGAGACAAGTTTTCCTTTGCAAAGGTCATATTAATACCGAACTTCTGGCTTCTGTTGCTGCTCACAGTTGTTGTTACCAGTAAGCCGTTCACATATTCGTGCTCATTCCGGGGCAAAATACGTCCAAGTGTTGAGTACATCACACTGACAATGGTCGAATTTGGGGTTAGAGTCTGAATTTCAGTTTCATCAATGAGCACATTAGCTGTGAGTTTTTCTTGACTGATGAAGGTTTTATTATAATCTGCGATGGAATTTTCTTTGACAACTATACCTTGTAGCTGAAGGGTTTTTACAGAGACAGGAGGAATGGTGTTATTAACTGGTTGGAGGCGCAGGGAAAAATTTTCCACTGAATGTAGTAACAAAGAACTTTTGTGTGTCCCCTCTTTGTTCAGGTCTTCCCAAGCTTCCATTGTGGAATCATCAACAATAAGGTCCACGGTGGAGAGGAAATTCTGGAACAATGACAGAATAATGCTGTTACTGAAATGCCATACAAATCATTGTTGTTTCTGGTGGTACTTTCTGAGGTCCTAGAATTGCCTTTTGAAAAAGCCCAGCATTTTCTTATTTTGCTCAATCCATGTGAAACCTTCAGTTATTGAACCCCTGCGTGATCTATTTTCAAGTTAAGGTTTCCAAAAGTGGAGCTGCATTGCTTTTTTTCTACATATTACTTAGTATTTTTTCTTCGCCAGCCTTCTTTCCCCTCTTTCTCAGCCTTTGTGCTATCTTTGATTTCTCTTGCTCTCTCATGTAGGATTCTCCAGCTACAAAATATCAAGTCTCTTTGCACTTTTCTGCTCAGAAGAGCAGTACTTTTCCTTTGTACCTCACAATCAAGGTTTCCAACTATTTCTAAGATATGTTTTGCCATTCATTTGTTGTAGCATCTAATTAATTTTTCTTGCTTGATCCCTATCCTTATTTCAACCCTTTTTTCTATTTCTGCTCCTACTTATAGAATCATAGAATCACAGAACGGTGTTGAGATTTAAAGATCATCCAGTCCGACCCCCCTGCAATGGTCAGTGAGAATCACCTCCGTTGACCTCCTGACCACCCTGCTTTTGATGCAGCCCAGGATATGGTTGGCTTTCTGGGCTGCAAGTGCACATTGCTGTCTCATGTCCAATTTTTCATCCATCATTCCTTGTCCTTTCCTTTAGAATTCTAGAGACAGTAATAGGTCCCTAGAAGATTTCTAGTTTCTAAGCATACAGCAGTCTCTCTTTCGTGCTTAGGCTCATCTTCATAATTTTGACTTTTCATAAATTCTTTTGTACCTTTGCTGTAATTTCATCTTTGCTGTCCTTTCATTTCATTCCCTTAATACTTTCCTGTATTTTCACATATACTGCGAAAATTCTTCAGGTAGAATGTCATCCCCTGTGACAAAAGGGGCCAAAGTGCTTGTTAAGTATAGGCAAGGCATAAAATAAAACCTTACTTGAACAGTCTGCTCCTCTGCATCTGCTGGGATAGAGGAGACCATAGCCAGGATGGTAACGATTGCACCTAGGTTTGCAGGAGAACGGTTTATTGTATTTTGCTCCTTCTCTGTCTTTTCCTTAAGCTCTGCAAGGTAGGTAGGTAGGTTTGCTTTTGCCTCAGGACTGTTGACCAAGGACTGGAACAGAAGATAACAATATGTCACATGTGTGCCATTTGCCTGGAGCTTGACCCTCCTTCATAATGGCCACCCCCACACCAGGAAAGGGAGTGGTCTCTTGTCTGTGCTAACTCACAGACTGCTCCTGGAAGTTCTGGGGGAGAAAATAGTTGGCATGAGTCTAAGCCATATGAGTGAGCCATCCAGCAATTTAAGAAAATACATAATTGAGTAGCCATACTTCTGTGTGGGACCTTGCTGTGCCTGATTTACTAAAATAAACATAGCAAGTGTTTGATGAAAGAAAGAGAATTGTTCTCATCTAACCCCACTGGGAGAAGGGTGACTCTGGATGGGTTGTTGAAGCGAAGAGTGCTATGATAGGATGCCAAGGCTGAAAACCGAGGCCCAGCAGCTCTCTGGGAAGTGTAGTGGCTGATGGGACACGCTAAACAGGGCCTGGGGCTGAGGTTGGGCAGTGGCCCAGAGTTGTCCCCACTGCCTCATGGTTAGTGTACTCTGTAGCATGCTTTGGGCTTGTGCCAGCTCATGTTCACCAAGGCAGTGCCTGAGCACGGTTCAGGGAACATCCCAAGCCACCAACTGCTCCCGCTGGATGCTATGAATAAGGTCATCGTGTCTGGGGAAGAGAGCGTTCGTGTGTAGGGATGTTAGCCATGCAGTGCCACTTGCCCTCTGGGCCAGAGAAGGGGACCTAGCCTCTTTCACTGACTTGTGTAGATATAGCCAATCATTCTTTATATATTTTAAAATATAGTTTTAATTAAACATTTGATTTTTAAAAAATGCTTCATATATTTTAGATTATGTTAAGCAAGAAAACAACCAACAAAAATTGTTGCTCTCTCCTAACCACCCCTCCCACCCCCCCAAACTCTAGAAAACTCATAAATGTTACCTCGGCACTGGTCAGCAGGTTGCTTATTGGTACGGCCAGGCAGTCATTCCTTGCAACATTCCATGATTTGTTGGAGCATGTGTAAATTACATTGCCTCGGGTAAGGCCACCTGGATTATTTAACTCATGGCATGGCTTTATTAATGTGGCCCCTTCTACTCCAATGCCAAAGCTAGCTGAGCAGGAAACTTCCTTATCTGTTTTGAAAAAAAAGAAATAGAGATACAAAACTAAGAAGCAGGGAGATGAATAATTTACTCCCATCAAACTTGTGACATCCTGAAGTTCAGAGGTCTTTAGGATTTCAGTTAGGATTTCAGCTTTCCCTCTTCATTAATTATGACTTTTCAGGGTGTATAAGTCTTGCATTCCTAATTTTTTTGAAACATGAAATTAAGCAGGAAATTGAATAAAGCCCCTTGTTTTTGAGTACTGAATCAAATCAACAAACCAATACCCGAAGTTTTAGGATTTGTCTGTTAGATTACAGGGTTTGACAGGGGTGGAGTGGGATTATTGGCCATTATGTGAACAGTGCTTCACACAAAGTTTATTCTGCTAAGGGGCTCAGTGCTGCTGTAGCACTAATAGGACATTCATTAACACCTTGATAGTGAGGCCTCAACAACTTTTTGATGAAGTGAGTCTTACAATTGCTTTTGGTTGGGTTAGTTGTATCAGTAAGTATCTGCTTCTTAGAGTGAATAAAGTGTCTGGAGATTTATTGCCTAAGAGAGTGAAATCTGTCCAGATACAGTGATTCAACAGTAGGCACAAATACTATGGAAAAAACAAAATTTCTACGTTATGGGGGTGTCCAACCTTTCTTTCCAGTTTATAATAAGAAGCTGAAATACCCAAGCTCTGGTCAAAACTAAACATCACAACTGGTTTAGCAATGTTGAATTCTAATTCCCCAGCAATTCCTGCAGAGCTGACTGGAAGCCGGCTCTGCCCAGGTCTCTGCAACACCTCACAGAGTTTGCCATTCTTGTGTTTAAAGTGGATGTGCTCTCCCACAGCCCGACCTGCTGAGCTAAATGACTTCTTCCCGAGGCACCGCAATCTTTTATCCTTGCTAAATTGTTGGTGAAAGCCGGGAGCCGCATGACCACACATCAGCACAGGGGGTGACGCTTGGTGGTGCATGCTGCACCAGAAGGAAGCAGGGACAGAAGATGACTGAAATATAACTGATCGTGAACATACTGGGGGCACTGTCAAGCACAGTGAAGACAAAACATCTTGTCTATTTATTTTTTTAAATTTCAGTAAAATTGATATTTTCCTATGTATTTCAAAATTTCCTATCAAAAAAGGAGACAAAAATTCTTGGTTAACAAACCCTGCTTCTGTTAGGTGTCACCAATGATAAATTTTTGGCATCTTCGTAAAGATATGGGGATTTTCTATTTAACAGCTTTAAATAGTAACTGTTTTCTTACCGGGTATCAGGTGCAGTCTCATACTTTCACTGTGGACTTCCTGTCCAATGCGGTTAATAAACTTGCAGTATGCTGTGAGGTTTTTCTCTTTGCTGCATTCTGGTTCTGTGTAATTGTACGTGTAGCAAAACAAATTTCCTTTTTTCTTTTTCCCTATGTGGAAGGGTTAAGACTAAGGTTAACACAGATTTAAGGTCAATCAGCTAGCAGACAGCAGAAAGCTTCTGCAAAACTTTCTTTTCTGTGGGTCCTAGAGAAAAAAAAAAAAAAACCTTCCTTTGTGGAAAAACTTTCTTTCTGTATGCTGATGTCTGTCTCTCACTCCTCTCTCAATAAGTCATCTGGCAGCTGCTGCATGATCAGTACCTTTTCAATTGCTGGCGTATGAGCAAATCCTGCCCAAACCTTCTTCTACTGTCCAGGAACCAACATCTGCTTTAGAAACCATTTTGGAGAATACTCTTCTAGGGATTTCATTTAGGCTAGGATACTTTTTTGCTATTCTTATATGGTTCTTTTGAACTTGGGGTCTGTACCATGCTCCCATTGCCTTTCAGTATGGCTGTGCCCGAGTGTCCCTGGCTGCAATCTCTTCCAAGGTGATCTCGGCATTTTTCTTAGCAACCGACAGACCCCTCAGTCTCCACCTGCTTTGCACGTCAGCCTGTTGTTTTCACACTCCTGCATGTTTTCTGAGTTAGTGTAGGTGGGTCTTCTTTGCTTTTTTTTTTCAAATTAAATGTTTTGTTACCCACTTGAAAACTTCTAGTATACAAAAACATGTCAGGGAAGCTGCAGAACTGCCCTAAATTTGAAGACATAGAAGCTTAGGCTTCTGTGCTGTTAAAGATATGTTACCTGTACCCTTGAAGAAAATAGAATAGTTCTTTGAGTTGCATTCTTAATGTGTTACTCTACATTTTTCATTAGTTATTATAATATTATACATATTATTATAATTATATTTCTTCTTAAGTAACTTTTCCTCAATACTCCGTTCAAAAAAGGGGCAGAGTGGAAGATAAATGCAGATAAAAGGAGTTTAGTAATTTCTAATCTGAACAATGATGAGGATGCTGACTCCTCACTGCCTGGCAAGGCAAACCAAACCTATTACCTATGTATCACTACAGCAGTGACTTCAATTGCTCTTCTATTAATCTCAGCCATGCTCCCCAGGCATACCAACCACCCTAAAAAAAGTCCATTACCCTTATTTTTACATTGTTGGAAGTACCTGTGGATTGTCACAGTAGCAGTAAGTATGAATTGGTTACATGGACCTAACTGAAAAAAAAAAAAAAACCAACAGACCAGGGACTGGGTGCAGCTAGTGAGTCTGCAAAGCTGTTTCTTACCAACATGAAATTCATTTTGTTGAACCACGAATCTAACAGCATAGTCTTCCATGGTGTTAGCACTTATGCAGCACTCGAGGGCTTGTCGCACTTTGCACTGTACAGATGCTGCAATGGGGTCTATCAGGATGTTCCGTTTCAGAGGCAAGGAAATAACCTCAACTGTCACGTTGGCAGAACTCTCCAAGTGCTTCTGGGAGAATGTGCAGATGTAGGTGCCTGGAAGAAGTGACACAAAACCCACGTTTCAGTCAACAGAAGCACTCCTCATCTTTTGCACGGCCGTGAGCCCTAATGCTGAACAAGTACAGTGTTGTTGGCATTATCATGTCTTACTGTCCTCCAGCAGTTATAGTTTTAACTCTTTAAAAAAAAAAAAATACTATTGCCAGGCTTCACAGTGATTTGCAGGGTTAAGGATGCTGCAGATGATCTGGTACAGGGATTTCATTGCCTTTGTAGCCGATACAAACCATGTTCACTCACCGCTCCAGTCCTGTGTGGCAGTCCTCACTGTGAGCACAGATGTCGCTGGAAATTTGCTATTTTTGATGCACAGACCACAGTCTACTGTTTTTGTGTTATTTCCAGACTGGATTTTCCAACTGATACTGTCATAATTGCTCACATCACTTTCACATGTTAGATTGAATGCATATCCCTCAGAAATTGATGAGTTTATGCTCGAAGATATTGTTACCCGGGCTGAGACAACACAAGATAAGTGTCATATTATTGAGAGTCACTTGTTATAATCTTTTTGCTTGCAAATGACATGTGCCACAGAGGCCACTGATGGTCTGTTACATGTTACCTGGCTCTTACCTGTCCGGAGGTACGTCACTGTGATGTCTCTACTGCACCTGGCCCCGTGTCCAGTCTGCAGCTCACAGGTATATGTCACCACTGTACCTGACTTCTCAGGGGGACACAGCGATTCATTGATGTTGAGCTTGTATTCAGTGCAGTTTTCACTGGAGCTGGAGACTCCTGGAGAGAAATAAACATTCTTTGAAGGGCTATGGATGTCCAAAAATACCTGGGCTCTGAAAATCACCAGCAATCACTCTAGCTAAGGAAAACCTTGTGGGTTTGTATGTAGCCTTTGACCACATGGCGCTTTTAACTCATCATTGCTGAAATTTATTCACCTTTTACTCTGGCAATGGTCACAGTGACCTTCCAAAGGCCTGAAGATGGTTCTCAGCACAGTGCTGGGCACCTGTCGCCAAAACCAGTCTAACTGAGAGCAACAACATTGCTTGGCTACCTTGGGATAAACCAAAATGAAGAACACTGGCACAGATTGCCCAGGGAGGTGGTAGATGCCCTGTCCCTGAAAACATCCAAGGTCAGGTTGGATGGGGCTCTGGGCAACCTGATCTAGTGGAAGATGTCCCTGCTCACTGCAGGGGGTTGGACTAGATGACCTCCATGGTCCTTCCAACTCAAACTGTTCTGTGATTCTATGAATATTCCGATTTAGCCTGACCTCATTATCTGCAATATTTAGGATGAGCAAGACAAGTAAAACAGGAGTAAATACTGCAGATTTTAATGTCATCTTATTTTGAAATAAACATTTGGAGGTACTTGACTGTCATTCAACTTTCAGTCTGAAGAGTGCTTCTTTAGCTACGGGGAGAAATCCCCGCTAAAGCTGGCCCTTGCTGCAGCTGAAAGTGCATCTGGCATGAGAGCAGAGTTCCTGGGGGAACGCCTGCCCACAGGGAATCAGAGGAAAAGCAGCTCACAACAGCAGGCCAGGATCCCTCCTCTCTGCAAGCACTGCTGAACACCAACACCTGTCCTCTGTGGAAATGGCTGCGCACATGAGCTTTGAAGGTTTTCTCTTGTTTTGCTGTCCTGCTTTCTGCTAAATTTAATTTATGACAAATGGTTAACAGTAAATGGTTAATCCAAACCCATAAAATATTAAGAGAGCAATAGGCTGTTAATGACTGTGGTTCACAGACATTTGTGAGAGTTTCTACTGATGTTATTTTGTAACTCTTTGTCATACATTTATTTGGTGCTTTATTACCTCCTTAAATTCATGTTATAAGCGAAGCCTTGTGGAATGCCACTGGCTCAACTGGCACGTGATGTATCACAGCTACAGGTGGAGAGGGAAATTGTGCAGCCAGTGTTTAGCTATGCTGCAGCTGTTTCAAAGTGTACCACCTGCCTCTCTTGGTTGCCAAATCTCAGTATGCGGTACACAGAACCTTATAGCCCAAGGGTGATTCTGGAGACAGTAGTAGAGACTGATGCACTCATCCTTGCTCTCAAAACTAGAGAATGAAGAAATAAGCTTTTTGGAAAAAGTCAGTATGATGCTGATCCAGGCAGCAGGATGGCACAGTTTTAAGCAGCAATGCCTGTACAGTGCATGGAGATGCCCAGAATCCCACTGGCACCTGCACAACACGTATGGAATCTGTGCCACGCTGGCCAGCCATCACCCTTCCCACAAACACCCCCCTTTGCAGCAGACCCTGTGTTCATCCTAGGACTTGGCCTTTGAGGTAGTCGATTAGGAGGAGATCTTTGAAAGACGAACAAACCCAGCAAGTGAAAGACAATCTTTTGTTCATCTTACCTGTAATATTGATTGCTCCGTTGACTTTCCAGTCACCAGTAAGTGATGGTGAGGGTCTGTTAATACAACAGGACAGCAGAGGACTGTTTATCTGTGTTTCAGGACTGTTACACGTAACATCAATGTTGTTGAAGTTTGGAGTGATGTATAGCGGAGAGACTGCGACTGATTTCGTGGCCTTGTATATCACTGTGTGAAACTGATTGCTGTTTGTGAAAGCACACCTATAGGAACCTGTAAAGCATAGGCAACACCTTAGCACTGAGAACATGTTTTACTCGTTTTCCCTCTACATTTGGAGTTAGGAGCTGGGAGCTACTTCCACACCTAGCTTTCACATCTCCCTGGTCTGCGATGGCTCTGCTACTGGATAATGAAAACGTGCCCTCAGGTCACCTGCAGTACTCTTTGCAGACTCCTGGTGCCAAATGTATCCAGACTAGGCAACTTCAGTGTTGATGAGTGCCTGAGAAGAGACCAGCGCTCTGGGACTGAAATACTTAAAATCTCACTGAGGTGGTCTTTTGGGCGCATGTATATTGCCCATAGTCCACGTGGCAGCAATGTGTCATGGGAGGAATGTAGATTGACTGTGCAAAAGGCTCCTACACAGAACGGGTGAGAAATAGGTGCCCAGGATGGACGTGTGTATTTTTCATATTTACTCTAGGAAAATGCAGTCACTGCATTCTTCTTTGCTTTTTATAGAACTAGCCCCACTAGAGATTTTCATCTGGTGCTTTAACAATAAAAAATCATACCAGAATCCTTCATCGTAATGTTGAAAATTTTAAGAATCGACCTTGAGTTCCTCCTTGTGACTTCTGTCTCTATCGAAAACCAGTAGCTGGTTGAGATGATCTGATTGAAGTAATACCAGGTCACATTCTCAGATGTTGAATTTATCTCACAAATCAGTACTACTGTATCCCCTTCAAAAATGTCCACTGGTCTCATGGTGAATTTTGTCTGATCTGGGAAGACAAAGAGCAACATTCTGCATTACTGTCATTTCAGTTCACGTCATAGAATCATTGAATCATAGAATGGTTTAGGTTGGAAGGGGCCATTAAACATCACCTAGTCCAACCCCCCTGCAGTGAGCAGCGACATCTTCAACTAGATCAGGTTGCTCAGAGCCCCATCCAACCTGACCTTGAATGTTTCCAGGGATGGGGCATCTACCACTTCTCTGGGCAACCTCTTCCAGTGTCTCACCACCCTCATTGTAAAAACTTTATTCCTTATGTCTAGTCTGAATCTACCTTCTTTTAGTTTAAAACCATGACCCCTTGTCCTGTTGCAACAGGCCCTACTAAAAAGTCTGTCCCCGTCTCTCTTATAAGCCCTTTTTAAGTATTGAAAGGCTGCAATAAAGTCTCCCTGGAGCCTTCTCTACACTGAACAACCCCAACTCTCTCAGCCTTTCCTCATAGAAGAGGTGTTCTATCCCTCTGGTATGTATCCCACATCTATATGGTATCTTTCACCTCATGGTGCTTCATAACTGGCATACACTCAGCATCAGTTGCAGGGCACCACCTCTGGTACAAGCTATGCCGTTTTCCCGCAGTTTATTCTTCTACTATCTTTGTCAGCCAAAGATCCCAGAAAGTTTTATGGAGAGAGCCAGAAATATTAACACCAGCACTACTTTCTAAGGAGATAAACTAGGAGGAGAAGCAGCCAGGTTAAAGTAACCCTCTGAGATGGACAGTCCAGTGCTCAGTGCACTGAGTACAGCACCTCTGGGGCACTTGGTCAGGCAACTGAGTTGTGACACACTGTCCAGCATCAGCGTGGAAACCGTGACAAGGAAGCCAGGGGGAACCTGTTCTCATGTAAGCTGCAAGAGGTTTTGTGTTTTATTTGAAGAAGTGGGAAGTGCTGGCAGACTGATATGCTAAGAGCTGTGTCAGCACTGTAGGTGAACTTTAGGGTTTCCACTCTCTCTTCCATAGAGACACTGCATCAGGGTTCAGTGGAGTAGCTGGAAGAATTTGGTTTCTCATGGGAGATATTGCATGAATAGTCATCTCATATAAGTCTGTCCTGGTTTCAGCTGAGACTGAAACAGTTAACTTTCTTTGTAGTAGCTAGTGAGAAGCTGTTTTGGATTTGGGCTGAGGAGAAGCTGATTACATACTGATGGTTAGAGCTGCTGCCAGGACAGTCAAGGACCTTTCAGCTTCTCTGCTGTGCAAATGGCTGCAGGGGCAGGAGAAGCTGGGAGGGAGCACAGCCCCAGTTACCAGCCCAGGATTTGACCTTAGGTTTAGGACTGAGACCCAGACTGGCCAATGGTCTGTTCCATGTCATGCATGGCATGGCCAGTGTATAGATGAGGGTCGGTCTGGAAGTTCTCTCTCTTGGTCCAGGTTGTCTCCCTCTGGGTCACCCCTCTCTCAGCATTGTCTCAGTCTTGGAAAGTCGGGCTCTTATCTCCATTCTGGGATTGC